GCGTGATGTTCGTTTTGATGAGAGTGATGTGACATTTAAGGAAAGTAAAGATAATAAGAAAGAAGACACAATATGGACTGAGGAAGAAAAAGGAGAAGAAACAGAAGAGATAAGAAGGAAGGAACTTCACATGAACAAGATAGAGAAGAAAATGATAAAAAAATTGTAGAAGAGAGAACTGAAGAAAGTGTCAATGAAAATGAAACAGAAATAGAAGAATTAAAGAAAACTAGATCTGGAAGAATTTGTAAAACACCAACGTATCTACGAGATTACGATTGTGACGAAGACGTAGTAAATGAATATGAAAGTAATATTGCTTATTGTTTAATGACAGGTCCTCAAACGTATGAAGAAGTAATTGAAGGAGGAAAGAAATGGCAAGATGCGATTGAGAGTGAACTTAATTCTTTGAAACAGTTAGATATATGGGAAGAAGCAACATTACCAAAAGGGAAGAAAGCTATTGATACCAAGTGGGTTTTTCGAACAAAACAAGGAGGAAAGAAGAAAGCTAGATTAGTGGCTAAGGGTTTTCAAACAGAAAATAGATATAATGTTTACTCCCCTGTAGCTAGGCTGTCTACATTAAGGATGATGTTTTGTTTAGCAGTGCAAGAAAACTTACCTATGAAACAACTTGACGTATCCACAGCATTTTTGAACGGACATTTATTAGAGGAAGTGTATATAAAACCACCAAAAGGAGTAAAGATTAATAAAAATAAGGTCCTTAAATTGAAACGTTCATTGTATGGTCTTAAAGAAGCACCGAAATGTTGGAACGAGAGATTTCATAACTTTATTATTTCCCGAAATTTCGAAAGCTCTAAATATAGATTTTTGTCTGTACACAAGTTCAAAAACGTGGATACTTATCTGGGTAAATGACATTATTGTAATGGGAGATTATGAACCAATAATAAGTGAACTAAGAAAAGTATTCAACGTGAAGGAGATGGGAGATATCAGTGAATATTTAGGAATGGAAATATCAAGGAAAGAAGGAGAATTGGCAATTAAACAAGAAAAACTAGTGAAGAAGGTATTATCAAGGTTTGGAATGGAAGATTGTAAGGGAGCATTAACACCCATGGAAGCTAACATAAATTTAGAAGAAGAAAAGATAAATGATGTGCCTTACAGAGAGCTTATAGGATGTCTTACGTATATATCAACTACTACTCGTCCAGATATAACATTTGCAGTTTCGTTTCTCAGTAAATACTTAGATAAACCTACAAGATCTATATGGACAGCAGCAAAGCGTGTACTTCGATACCTAAAGTCTACATATACTAAAGGACTGCTATACACACAAGGAGTCTATGATAAAAATAAGCTAGTAGCATATAGTGACGCAGATTGGGCATCCGACAAAGCCGATAGAAAAAGTGTGAGCGGATGTGCTATATTCTATTCGGGTAATCTTATTTCTTGGTTTACCAAAAAGCAGAACACCGTTTCTCTATCGTCTGCAGAAGCGGAATATATAGCGGGAGCAACAACAACGGCTGAGATAATATATCTGCAAGGTATTCTCAACACATTTAAGTGTAAGGATGTTCACACTTATCTGCTCATAGATAGTCAAAGTGCAATTCGCATGATAGAGTGTAACGAAAAGCTTATCGATATAAAGTTCAATTTTGTCAAAGATGCTTTTATCCAAAAGAAATTTAGAATGTCATATGTTTGTACTAATGATAATGTAGCGGATATACACACATCAAAAGTGTCTAGGGATCAACATATATTTTTGCAATAACTTTTCTCCTGATTGATATTAATTAAAATTTTCTTTAAGGATTCATCAAATAAAGTGTTTTCGTTTGTCACAGTAACGATAAACCAAGTCACCTTTGCATTAATAAAGAAATTTGCCATTTTCCTAATAAAGGGATTTTTGACATTTGAACCACTAACACAAAAGTTCGAAAAAAAGACTGAAATAACAGTTTTCTCTAAAATTTTATTGGGTAACTTAAACAATTAATAATCCGTATTTCTACCGCGAACACTAACAACACAAGAACATCGGTTTGGCATACTCAAAATGAGTTCATCCAAATCACGCTGTGGAATGGCCGCCCATGTTCGTTGCAACAACAAAAAAAGGTCTTCTTGCGACTGGATACCCTCCATATTCGGCAGAGCTCTTCTCTGTAGCATATCCCATGCATGCTCAATCGGGTTCAAGTCTGGCGACTGAGCAGGCCAGGGCAGGACATTGATGTTAGCTGCGGCGAGAGTCTGTCTTACAACTCTTGCGGTGTGCGGTCGTGCATTATCATGCATTAACTGAAATAAGGGACCGATTTGCACTTGTAGAGGAACGATGACGTCTGATACAATCGTCTCAGCATAAATTTGAGCGTTGAGGTTGCCTCTGATCCAAATCAACTCAGTTCTTCCGCCGATCCAAATACCCGCCCATACCATGATGGTTCCACCACTATAAGGATGGACTTCCTGGCAGGATTTTAATCGCTGTTGGCGTCCAGGGGTTCTCCAGTGTCGTATACGTCTTGTATCCGGTCTCATACCAAAACGAGACTCATCAGAAAAGCACACGAAACGCCATTGTTCTTCTGCCCAATTTCTGTGTTCAAGAGCCCATTGATATCGAATCCTACGATTGTGTATTGCTATAGGTGGTACCCGTAGCGGTCTTCGGGAATGAAGGTTCACTTCATGCAAGCGGTTTCTGACTGTTTGGTCGCTAATTAAGTTCCCTGAAGAGTGATGAAGCCTCACGGCTAACATCATGGCGGTTATTGTTGGAGCTCTTCGAGTTAAGATTTGAATGTATCGGTCTTGTCTCCGTGTGGTGCAGCGATACCGTCCTCCATGGCGCTCAGCCACGGTACCAGTGCTTCGGTATCGTGTCCAAAGTCGACTGATAACACTCTGACTTGTATTCAGAGCTAAAGCCACAGTACGTTGCCGGGAACCAGCTTCTATCATTCCCACGGCTCTGAGCATTTCTTCCCTGCTTAAATGACGTCGCCGCTCCATAATAACGTTGGTTTTAATCAGTAGTAGGGAAACAGTAGCACTAATAATGTCTTCAATGCGTTGTATGTTTTTATAGGGAAAATATTGACAGCTGATTTTCATATTTTACTCGAATTTGATTCACAGTTCCTGATTCAAATTATGAAATGCACCAAAAAGGATCCATATAAATTTATAAAATCATAAATTTATTACAAAGCCACATCTCAATCTCAAGAAATCCGCATAAAAATGCTTGATCCCTAGACACTTTTGATGTGTGTATTTACAAAACCTCTCAATTCTGTAAAGCATGCCTACTTTGTTAGAAAGTTAAAAGTTGAGTAAAAATAAGTGTTATATATAGGTTGTTCTAATTTGGTGTTAAGTTATAGGTGCTGTTAATAAATTGAGTTAAGTAGGTAGTGGTAATTTTATGTTAGGATTTTTATTTGAGAGGAGGCTTTGTTTGTTTAAGTATGTAAATATTAATAACTATTAGCAATATCTAATTGTTTGCAATTAAACATTGAGAGGAGGTGTTAGTTATGATCACTTGACATTGTCACTTAAGAATTCGTGATGTATGAAGAAAAACTAATGTCATGTAACGTTGTGATAATTTTCCTTAAATAAATATTATGCGCACAAAGCTCTATATTATTAATATATTGGAATAACAAGTCTTCCTTGCTTGGTAATCAGCTACACTATATTTACTTCATTGCTAGCACCCACCCACCGATCACAATATCTTCCCATTTTTTCTATTAATTATTAAGCTCTTACCATTTCACCCAAAGTAATTTATCTAGACTCTTTACGTAATGATAAAAATGCTAATATTAATCTAATGAGTATTATTAATACAGAATGGCCAGACTGGCTTTATATTTAAACATCCATCTACTGGGATAGTTGGAATCGGTGTTTACCACCAACAGTATAAAATAACACAAAAAATTAAATTACCCCCAGAAACCTCAGCATACACAGGAGAATGTTATGGAATCCTTAAATCATATGAATACATTTTGCTTGCACAACACAAAAAGACAATTATTTTCTCCGATTCCAAAAGCAAAGGCATTTCAGGCAATAGAAAAATTTCCTTTTAAAGCTTCTTCCTCTAACGCCTATTTGATCGATTGTAGGAAATTATTTATAATTGTACTTTGAAGAATCTAAATGTGCCCTTTGCGTGGATACCTGGCCATCATAACATCACAGGCAATGAAGTAGCTCATAAACTTGCTAAAGATTCAGTGAATTGTGGTGACGTCTTTCCCTATAAAAAATTAGTAAATGGTCTTGTTTTACTTCCTAAAGTACATCTACGCATATCTTGGGAAGAAAATTGGGATACTAGTAGTCGCATCAAAGGTAAACATTATAAATTAATTCAACAATGTATTCCCGATAATCCATGGATTTCTAAAATTCATTTAAGTAAGTCATAAGAATGCGCCTAGGTCATAACTGTTCTTCTTCCCACCTGGCTAAACTGGGCATAGTAAATAATAATATTTGTGCTTGTGGTACTGGAGCAGAGGACTTAAAGCACATCTTCTTCGAGTGTCCCCTCAATGATTCCTCCTCTTTTATGGATTCATTAATATCCCTTAATGTACTTCTCCCTACTTCTGTTCTTTCCTTATTGTATTATAAAAAATATAATATATATAACAAGCTATCTGAATTCCTAACTAAACGTAATATAAAATTATAAGTAATTTATAACAAATAATGTAATGTATTTTATATACTTAAAAAGACCTATTACTTACGGTACAAATAAATTTTACGTACCTAAAATCCTAGTCCTTCCAAATTCCGTTTCACAACCATTTTATTTCATTGTTTTGGTTTCCTTACCTTTTACCCTGTTGTGGCCAATGCACAAACCGTGCTAGCCATTATAATAATAAATAAAATAGTAATCTGTAGCTAGCATCATGGACATACACGAGCAAGTCCAAGTCAAGTCCAAGTCCGTATTCTGTGACATATCCACATACTATTTAAGTTTCTGAACGAACAGAAATTTGTGAAATGGCGAAATTGTGACTTCTTGAGGAATTATTAGATTTTATGTTCGATAAATGACAATTTAATAAGTAAACCAATACTGTTTTGTAGCTAATCTTAAGGTATTTTATAATCCTTATTACTTTGGAGATCGTGTTTGGTGTAAACAAATTTTAACATATAAAAATATGATACCTGAAATTAGTTGATCGTATTTTTGCCCCTTCAAGTGTGAAATTTTCTAGTGAGCTTCGTATTCCTATTTAGTTTGACTAGGTAAGTAGTTAAGAAAAACCCTTTTGTTTTTGTTACAAATGACAACTAGTCCTAAGAGTTATAAGTTACATTTTATTTGTTAAAACCAATTTAGGTCAATATGTTTGTAAATATTGGTAAAACGAATTTATCACAGAAAAAATATCATAGGTATGCCTTAGTTTAACGAAATAATAAGTTAGAAAATGAGAGAGATAATATTTTTACTATGGTTCTTTCAATGATCAAATGAGTCATAATATTTATTAATTTCCCTAATTTAAGGTTTTCAGATATGAATAACTGTGGTGGAATAGGAGGCGGTGCGTTGGGTGCAGCAGGTGGTCCATATGATGCTAAAATAGCAGGACTTTATGACTTACTTGATACACTTGGCTCTGGACATTTTGCAGTTGTAAAATTAGCACGGCATGTTTTCACTGGAGAAAAAGTGGCAGTAAAAGTCATAGATAAAAGTAAATTAGATGAAGTATCGAAATCGCATTTATTTCAGGAGGTAATCTAGCAATATTTAATAATTCTGTATGATTTATTTATTTGTAATGAAACAAAAATAAGTATAATTTCATAACATTTTTGTTTTAGGTTCGATGTATGAAGTTAGTACAGCACCCAAATGTAGTAAGACTATATGAAGTAATAGACACTCAGACAAAACTCTACTTAATATTAGAGTTGGGGGATGGAGGAGATTTATATGATTACATAATGAGGCATGAATCGGGCTTGTCAGAATCTCTTGCTCGTGATTACTTCCGTCAAATAGTTCGTGCTATTTCATATTGTCATAGGTATGCTATACTCATAGTTAACTGAATTTAATATTAATGTTAATTATCATTCAAATATTATGAACTCAACAAATGTGAGTGAGGTTTTGTCATGTTTTCCTGTAAGATGATAAAAATTGTGAAAGTATATAATATTTATAACATGATTAAATAATAAATATTTTTGGTTTGCAGGTTACATGTGGTACATCGAGATTTGAAACCTGAAAACGTAGTATTTTTTGAAAAACTAGGTATAGTGAAATTGACTGACTTTGGTTTTAGCAATAAATTCTGTCCTGGTCAAAAATTAGAGACTTCTTGTGGTTCATTGGCTTATTCGGCTCCAGAAATATTATTAGGTGATTCATATGATGCCCCAGCTGTGGATGTGTGGTCACTTGGAGTCATACTCTATATGTTAGTTTGTGGACAGGCCCCCTTCCAAGAGGCCAATGATAGTGAAACTTTAACTATGATAATGGACTGTAAATATACAATACCACCACATATATCAAATACATGTAAAAGGTAATTTGTTTTATAATATTGTGTTAATGCCATAAAGCCACAAAATCATCTGGAGTAAAGATAATTTATCAATCTTCTTTGTTACAGGTTAATAGGTAGAATGCTTGTAAGAGATCCTGAGAAAAGAGCGACTCTTTCAGAAATAGCTACTGATCCTTGGGTAACAGCTGGAGAAGGCATAACTGTTGAAGATTTTGACACTCCATTAGTTACCAAAGAACAACTGTCTGAGGATGATCGCTCAGCTATAATACAAAAAATGGTCAATGGGACTATAGCTACTAAAGAAGAGATTCTAGAATGTTTGGAGAAGAATGACTATAATCATATCACTGCCACTTACTACCTGTTAGCAGAAAGGAAACTGAGAACGAAAAGGTGAGCTATGTCAATATTATGCAATCATTGGTTTGGGCAGTAAACACCTTTTCAAATGGGCAAGGGGAGGTAACACTAGGTTTTAGGTTAGTTTTAAGAACCTTTTTTTTAAATTAAGGCATAATTGAGAATTTTTATTATATTGTAAACTTAATTGTTTTAATAAAGAATAATTGAATTGTTTTTTAAGATTATTTAATGGGCTTTCAAATGACATCAATATTGGTGGGGGTAAATATGTGTGTTGAAACTTTATAGTATAATTTGCAGGATGGAGTCGGTCCGTAGGCAAGAGATGGTCGTAGGCGCGCGGAGACCGGAAGCTCTGAGCGTAGTTCGTGGCGCTACAGCTAACGCGCCGCCTCCCACGCGGATGCTATTAGCACCGCCTACGTTGTCTGCCGCACCGCGTACGCCGCAAGACGTACCGCCGGTAAGTTAACAATCTCATTTATATTAGAATCTTTGAAGACTGTAGCTGATTTAATGTAAAAGTCATTGCAAACACTGGGCTAAGAACTCATAGAGCGATTTCCGATTGCGACCGCCGCGGCCGCGGGATCGCAACTAGCGTAGAATCTGATTACGAGACACAACAGGCCACATTCTGTAATTTTTAGCTTAAAAACATTGATGAGTCATTTATGTATAAGAGCGTGCGCTGCGTTAAGCGGGGCACGGAACGGGCGTCAGCTCGGCGTGTTTGTTTCATAGACCCGCCTCACCCGGCGCGGGTGACGGCGTACGCTCGATTGGCTGTCTTCTGTGGTCTTTTTTAATGACGTCAATGTTTTATTAGAATTTTTGAGTACTGTATCTCATTAAATGTAGAATTTATTGCACTGAGCATTGGGATACCTAAAGAGAGACTGGCTAAGAACTCGCGGAGCAGTTTCCGACAGCAACCGCCACGGCCGCGGGACCGCAACTCGCGTAGAATATGAAATTGTGGATAATAATTCATAATGGTAAATTTCATGACGCGATTTACGCCCGCTGCGTGCGCGGTTTTTTTGCGGCACCCGGTGCCGACTGGTTTCGCCTAATCTTCTCTTGGTTAGTTTACAATCGTTCATGCAACCGCGGCTACTGTGGCACCGCACAAAACTGTGGTCAGTGAGTTCTGAAATAAAACAGCTCTACAACCGCCGTCGCGTCGAGTGCGGTTAAAAACCGCTCTGTGAGTCCATATCCTTGTGTTGAGGTTTCCAAGAATTTCAAATATCAACTCGTATCGGCTTTGTAATGTTAGCTGTTGTTTTATTATATAGGTATTAAGTTAACTGGTTTTCATTGGTACGGCGATTAAAAGAATTGAAGTGAATGTTAATCTTGCAAGTGTATTTTTGTCTTTATGTTCTATACGAGGAGATATAAGGAGCTCGATGGCGCAAGTGGTTACCGCGTTCGGGTGCGATCGTTGAAGTTAGCCAACTTTTGCAGTGGTCGTTCATTAGATGCGTGACCAAAAATTTACTATCTCGAGCTCCTCCGTGCTTCGAAAGGCCCGTTAAGCTGTTGGTCCCGACTGCATCTGTAGTCGTTAGTACCCATCAATCCGCACTGGGCCCGCGTGGTGCGTCATGGCCTAAACCTTCCTATTCCATCTGTAGGGAAGACCTGTGCCCCAGCAGTGGGGACTGTAATAGGCTGATGATGATGCCCTATACACGAATTGAATCTTACGATTTATTTCTGGGTAGGTTGCCGACTTCAACAATAGATCTACTTTTAAAAGTTACACAAGTTAAAGAATTAATACTTGAAACAGTTTTTTTTTTGTTCTTATAAGTTCGGTAACGGCGCGCGCTCTCAAAAGTCTTTTATCACGTGCAGAGATCACGTAAATGCAGCATAGTACGCGAGGAAGAAGATGACGAGGAGCCAGCGGTGGCGAATACGGCGGAGACGAGACGGGGCTCTCGGTCTGAAGGTCGACTCCATTTGGCGGCGCGCGCGCACAACGCCGCGCAAGCGATGCCCCCCACCACAGTCCCGCCTGTTAATAATGCGCGACCTACTCAACTAGCAGACAACCTCACCAAGGTAATTAAATGGAGCAATTGAATAGACGGAGCTCCCGGTCTGAAAGACGGCTCCATCAAGCAATGCCCTCCACCACCGCCCCGCCTGTTAATAATGCGCGGCCTACGCAACTAGTAGACAACGTCACCAAGGTAACTGGAGCAGTTGAATAGACGGGTTTTTCGCTCTGAAGGGCGGTTCCATCAAGCAACGGCGAGCGCATAAGAATCACTGATTCAGACTTATCTGTCCAGTTTTATAGTTGGTTAGGGAACGCTTATTGCATTCTCTATGTCTATGGTTTTGTCGCAGGTGAAATTGGGCGAAGTCGCTGGCAGCGTAGGTGCTGAATGCCGGCGGCGTCGTGGCGGGTCTTGTTCATCTTCAGATCTATCCGACGACGACTCGGAGAAGAAGAAACGTGCCGCCGACCATCGGCCGCCGCCCGACCGCGCACGCAGAGACTCGCACGACGACTCCAGCGACAGGTAGGTGCCCATAGACTGGCTCTAAGATACCACACTACCACGCTCACATTCAACCGCTGCTATGGCAACGACTCGGAGAAGAAGAAACGTGCCGCCGACCATAGGTCGACGCCCGTCCACGCACGCAGAGACTCGCCCGACGACTCCAGCGACTGGTAGGTGCCCATACACCAGCGTTGCCAGATTTTTGGGTTCCGTACCTTTAAAGGAAAGAACGGAACCCTTATAGGATCACTTTGTTGTCCGTCCGTCCGTCCGTCCGTCAAGACTGTTTCTCTCAGGAAATTCATATCTATTACTCAGGTCTACTGTCCATTAGAACTGTGAAAAAAATCAAATCAGAAGATACAGCCGTTTATGCCGCAAATTTTCGAAACTCGCACGTCAATCAAAACCTACAGGGTACATCCCGAGTACTTGGAATCTTGAAATTTGGTACGAAATAAGGTCTTATATTACAGGTAAAGGAAAAATTGCTAAAACCGTAAATTTTTAGTTACATCATATAATAAACCCTCGGTGCGCGAGTCCGACTCGCACTTGGCCGGCTTTGCCAAGTCGGGATTTAGGATCTTTTTTAGCGAAAAAAAAGCGGGATTCTTTCGTCGAAAGACGTCGAAGACATAGTAAAAAAAACTTATTTAATCAAAAGTTTTTGAATATATATCTTTTTATTTGAGTTCAAATTACGTTTACGTGACAATAGATAGGTACCTAGTAAAAATATCCATATAAAATGTATTTAAATAAAAATATGATATTTTAAATCAGATTTACCCTATCATTAAATAGTTGTCTTTGTTTGAGAGATCTTCACCCGCCCGCGCTTTCTCAATGCCCTGCACGCACGGTCGAGTTATTCCCGAAAAGCGGGATTGTTCCTGTCCCGCGCGGGACACTTTATTTTTGATTTAAAAATCGGGACGTCCCGTCGAAATCGGGACGTCTGGCAACGCTGCCATACACTGACTCTAAGATACCACACTACCACGCTCACATTCAGCTGCTGCCATGGCAACGACTCGGAGAGGAAGAAACGCGCTGCCGTAAAATTACACGTATTTTACGGCAGCGCGTTTCCTTTCAGCTAGCTGAGTTCAAATTCTCTCGCCCCAGATTGGCAAACCGATGGCAAAGCTTTTGGTGTTCATAATGTGCTTGTAAAACTGAATAAATAAATTTTAATCTCCAACACATCGATGGAATCTTAAGTAATGAGAAGTTAGCGCAAGTCGCAATGCAGGAAACGTAATTTAGGTGCTGCCAGCAATCTATGTATTTCTTTCACTTAACCTATCTTCTATATCAGTCTCAGATATCGATATGAAAATCTATTTCTTTTCGGAAGTCGATAAATCGCTGTATTATATTCCGGACATGCAGATATGCTTCGAGAACTAAATTTGTTTCTAGTTGAATTTTAGACCATTCATGCCAAGTTTTATGTCCATTGTTTCAAAGCATAAGATTTTTCATACAAACTTGCATTCCCACAACTTTAAGCCTCATTTTGAAAACGCCTTTCTTAGTGCAACCGTTAGACCTCATAAGGAACCTACGTGCCAAATTTGGAGTATTTAGATCCAGTGGTTTCGGCTGTGCGTTGATATGTCTGTCAGTCAGTTTCTTTTATATATTTAGACTAGCGGCCGCTCGCGACTGCGTCCGCGTTCACTTTTAGTTTGTTTTATTTCTTAAATAAAAGATTTTTTCTAAAATAAAAGTAGCCTAAGTTACTCCTTATTACATTAGATACCTGCCAATAAAAGTCCCGTCAACATCGGTCCAGCCATTTCAGAGATTAGCCGGAACAAACAGACAGACATACAAAAATTTAAAAAATGTTATTTTGGTCTATTTATCGTATATTTCATATTCATGTAGTAAAAAGCGGTTGTTTCAATATTACAAACAGCCACTCCGATTTTATTTATATGCATAGATGTATAGATAATCGAGTTATTGGATCTGTCATACAGCCAGGAACGCGGCAGTGGTGCGGGCACAGGCACTGGCGCGCCTGGGAGCGGGCGGAGCGGGACCCGGGCGCTGGCCGCCGCCCCCACGGCCCCGGGGGCGGGCGCGGGCACGGGCGCGGGGGCGGGTGACGCGCGCGGGGCAGGGGGAGGCGGCGGGGGGCGGAGGAGGCGGGGAGCGAGGCACGAGAGCCGACTGAGGGAGTCCCGCTCACTCAACCGCATAGCGGAAGTCGAGGTATACGAGCATTCGAGCTATAGATATAGGCATTGCAGGCAATGTTGTTATAGATGCGTCCGCCTCAACACTATGGGGGCACGCGCAGCGGTGAGGCAACCCCTCACAGGAGACGAGGAGCAAAGCACGAGAGCCGGCTGCGGGAGTCGCGCTCACTCAACCGCATAGCAGAAGTCAAGGTATGAGAGCATTTGAGTGGGGGTTTCAGCACAAATATAGACAGCGCGGGGGCGTAGGAGGAGGACGCAGGAAGCACGACGCGAAGCACGAGAGCCGGCTGTGAGGGTCCCGCTCACTCAACCGCATAGCGGAAGTCGAGGTATGAGAGCATTCGAGCTATAGGGGCGTTATACATTACAGGCGATGTTGTTATAGATGCCGCCGCCTCAACGCTACGGGGGTACGCGTGGGGGCGAGGGGTGAAGGGGACGAGGAGCGAAGTACGAGAGCCGGCTGCGGGAGTCGCGCTCATTCAACCGCATAGCAGAGGTCAAGATATAAGAGAATTTGAGTGGGGTTTTGGCACAAATATAGACAGCTCGGGGGCGTAGGGAGAGGACACAGGCGCGAAGAAGTGTTGCCGAACTAACGATATTAAAACTATCGAGAGTTTACATTGAAAATCATGAACCCTATCGATACAATCGTAAGTATCGAAACTATCGATAGCACAGAACAAGGCAATACTATCGATACTATTGTAGTTCGTTAATAACAAACTATTGATGGTATCGATACTATCAATACTGGTTATTTTATCTGCAACAATACTATCGATAGTATCGATACTAGCCATTGTTTTAGACTATAGTTTGTGATTGATTTTAATACCTGAAAATTGTAAACAATACTATTGCAAATTGTTAAACTATCGATAGTATGGTTGCAAATAAAATCGACAGTATCGATACTATCGATAGTTTGTTATAAACGAACTACAATACTATCGATAGTATTTGACTCATCCGATAGTATTGGCTTGTTCTGTGCTATCGATAGTATAATCCGATCAATTTTCATACGATTGGTTGGCTATCGATAGTCGACTATCGATCGGCAACACTAGCGCGAAGCACGAGAGGGTTCCGCTCACTCAACCGTATAGGAGTGTCCGATACGTATTGTCGCATCATTTGCTATGCAAGTTTTAGTCTTAATAAAATCATTATAGAGGAAACACGCGTTATCAATTCGCAGTCACCTGATAAAGAAATCTCAACCTTATGTACAAGACATAGTGGCCAAAACGAGCCGGATTAAGACGTAGTAAACAACTGCAGCGGCCGGTCGGGCGAATACAATAGATGAATAGACGGCCTTTTGTGTGATTTTTTTTACGTACTGGTTCGATGTAGTTTTTTCTATATGAAGTTTACATTAATGCAAATATAAGTGAACGTTGAGTGAGTGCATTCTTGAATATTATTGAGTTTTACAACCGATAATAAACTACATAAAGATGACAACGCCGACTGCGGAACAAAGTACGTATATGAATACATTGGAAGACATAGCTAGTATGTTACAAGAGGCACAAATAAATATCAAAAAATGCCCTAAACAAAGATTAACTGTTGGTTATATAAAAACAAGATTAAAAACTATAGAAGATTATTGGAGCGATTTTAAACAAACGCATGACAAACTTATCAGGTGTACGCCGCGTGAACAAAGGGGAATGATGCCATATTTTCTTCGCGAAGAATATTATACATACAAAGATTTATACATATCCCTTCAAGCTGATTTGACTGATTTATTGATATCATTAGAAAGACCAACTAAAAGGAGTGTAGACAATTCCAGTATATCAAATTCAAATGTATCACAAGATGGTCAGTTTTCGCTCGCTAGATTGCCAAGAATACAATTACCTACCTTCTCGGGGAGATATGAAGATTGGCCTACATATCAAGATTTATTCACGGCGCTTGTTCACAACACTTCTATTAGTAATGTACAAAAATTGCATTATTTGAAAACAAGCATTTCTGGAGAAGCTGAGATGTTATTACGACATATTCAAATAACGGAGGATAATTATACTCAAGCGTGGAAATTGCTTAAAGGGCTTTTCGGCAGTAAGAAAATGATTGTGAATTCAGTTATGAAAAAAATATTCAATCAGAAAAAAGTGAATAATCTTTCGGCCAGTCAAATCAAATCATTAGTTGATACAACAACAGAGTGCATTAATAGTTTGAATAATTTAAATATATGTACAGACTCTTGGAATCCGGTAATCATATTTCTAGTTGGACAAAGATTGGACTCGGAGTCGTTAAAGGACTGGTAAGAACATGCTTACAAGAAAAGTGTAGAAATGCCAACATGGAGTGAATTGAAACAATTTCTTGAAACAAAGTTCCGTACCCTTGAGTTAATATCTTCTATAGCAACTAGTTCAACAAGGGATAAGTCTCAAGTTTCCAGGTCGTTTCACGTCTTGACAACCAATGAAGAAGAAGACGATAGTTTGCAAATATCCGTTAATGCTAATTTTAATTCACAACATTTGTGTACATATTGTAAGGGTAATCACTATATTTTTAACTGTAAACAGTTCGGAAAATTAACATTAGAAAAAAGACATGATCATGTTAGAAAAAACCGTTTGTGCTTTAATTGTTTGATACCTAACCATAATGTATATAAATGTAAACAAAGGAAGACATGTCGCATTTGTGGAAGAAAACATCACTCACTGTTACATGAAGAAAGAGGAATAAAACAAAAAGGTGAAAAACTGGAAGATAAGACTAACACTGAAAGGGAGATACAAATACAACCAGAACAAAGGATAACAACAGCACATTTTTCAAAGGAACAATTTGGTCATGAAGTTTTATTGGCAACAGCACAAGTACGTGTCAAGTCAAACAATGGTGAGACATATATACTTCGTGCTCTTATTGACCAAGGGTCAGAGGCTTCATTTGTTTCTTCGAGAGTAGTCGATCTGCTAGGTCTGAAACGAAAAACCATTAGTGGTGAAGTCTCTGGGATAGGAGGAGAAAACCATAACAAAATAATGATAAAACACTTAGTTGATTTGTCAATTACATCACGATTTCATACTAATGTGACGATTGGAGTGCAGGCTTATGTATTGAAATCAATTGCTGCCAGGTTACCTTCTAAACATATCGTGGTAAATGGGACACAGCTTGAAACATTAAATTTAGCAGATGCTAATTATTATGTTCCAGGTAATATAGATATGCTACTTGGAGCGGACGTGTTCTGCAAGGTTATAGAAGATAGTTTGATAAAATTGTCGGAGGGAATAATAGCACAAAAAACCATTTTTGGGTGGATTCTTTCAGGTCAAAGGGAAAAAACAAAGACAAATGAACACAAGTTAATCACATTACATGTAAGAAGGGTGGTAGCAGAAGACAATGATTTATTAAGAAAATTTTGGGAAATAGAAACAGATTTATACAAAACGAAGAAGTGGCTAACTAAAGAGGAAGAAAAATGCGAAGAGATATACAAGGCTACAACTGATCGAGACGGTGAAGGAAGATATATTGTACATTTACCCTTGAAACAAACAGTTCAAGAAACAATCAACATGTGTGATACAAAACAGCAAGCAATCAAGAGATTTCAAAACCTGGAGAAAAAGTTTATAAATAATTCATCTTTCAAGTCTGATTACACAAAGGTTATCCATGAATACAAAGAAATGGGACATATGAAGTTATCTGAAACAGTAGAGTCGGGTGAAGATAATAATTCAATTTACTTACCGCATCACGCAGTACTGCGCGAAGACAAGGAAACTAGCAAGCTGCGTGTTGTCTTTGATGCTTCCGCAAAAGGATCGAAAGGCCAATCCCTCAATGAGTCAATGTTAGTTGGACCAGTTTTACAACCGGATCTTCGTAGTTTGATAGTGAAATGGCGCACGTACGAAATTTGTGTAGTTGGAGATATTGTCAAAATGTATAGGATGATTCTAATGAACAAGGAACACACGAATTTGCAAGAAATTGTTTGGCGAGATAACTCGGATGAAGTACTTGAAACTTATAATTTGACCACGGTTACTTTTGGTACAGCAGCAGCTCCTTTTTTGGCTGTACGGACTTTAAACCAGTTGGCAGACGATGAATCTCATGAGTTTCCAGTCACAGCATCTTTAATGAAGGGGTCATTTTTCATGGACGATCTTATGATAGGAAACAATGAAGGAGTTGAAAAAATTAAGGTAATGTGCGGAGAAATAAAGGAAATATTGAAAAGAGGAGGATTTAAAATGCAAAAATGGTCAAGTAACTTAGAAGAAGTTTTACAATATTTACAAGGAGAAACAGATTCATGTGATACAATGGAAATAAAACTAAATAAGGTCATAAAAATTCTAGGACTAACGTGGGATAGAAAGGAGGACATATTCGTCACTACAGTTCATTTAACTGAAATGTCATATCCCATTACTAAAAGATCGGTTCTTTCAGATGTGGCTCGCCTATTTGATCCGTTCGGATGGTTGTCGCCAGTAGTGATCCGAGCGAAAGTACTCATACAAAGACTGCGGTTGTAGTGTGTAACTTGGGTTGGGATGATGAACTTACGCAAGAATTGTGTGAAGAGTGGGTAAACTTCAGGATAGAATTGACACATCTGCAAAACATAAAGATTCCGCGATGGTTAAGGACTAATGAATATAAGAATAAAATTGTACAGTTACATGGCTTTGCAGATGCATCAACCCAAGCATATGCAGCAGTTACTTACCTGCGAGTACTCGAAGATGATGGCACAGTGCACGTCACACAAATAGCGTCTCGTACAAAGGTTGCACCTTTGAAGCAAATATCAGTTCCTAAATTAGAACTATGTGGCGCAGCTTTGCTAGCAGAACTTGTAAGTGATCTAGTAGATATTCTAAATGTACCTAAATCCGAAGTATACGTATGGACTGATTCTACGGTTGTGTTATCATGGCTTCAATCACAGCCCAACCGTTGGCGAACATTTGTGGCTAACAGCGTCGCAGATATACGAGTTCTAGATAATGATCGATGGAGGCATGTTCATTCGAGTGAGAACCCTGCTGATACAGCCACAAGAGGGGTAAGGGCATGCGATTTGCCGGCACAAAAACTTTGGTGGAGTGGACCCGAATGGTTACGCCAACGGGACTTACAATTTGACAGATGTGATATTCCAAAGACTGATTTAGAGTTACGAGTTTCATTAAACTCAAATAGAATAGAACATCCAATATGGGAAAGGTTTTCAACTTTATCTAAGATGAAGCGGATACTATCTTATTGTATAAGATGGATAGCAAAAAATAAACTAAGACGGCAAGAAATTTATATTACAGCGACTGAAATGGAAGACGTATTAAAAAGATGCATCAAATACTACCAGAGCTTAGTGTACGGAAAGGAAAAAGAAGAGTTAAGAATTAAGGAAAGAGTAAATAAAAGAAGTTCGTTGATCACCCTTACACCATTCTTAGATAAGAGTGGTTTGATAAGAGTAGGAAGACGGCTTCGGAATGCTTCAATTCTAGATGCAACAAAAAACCCTATTATCATACCCCAGAATCAGCATTTAACAAGATTAATAGTACAAGAAGCACATACCAAGACATTGCATGGTGGCATTCAACTAATGATGGCATATATCAGAACAAAATATTGGGTTATTGGACTAAAATCTGCCGTCAAATGTTGCATTCGTAATTGCAAGACATGTGTTATCGACAAGGCACGAATTAAACACCAGCTTATGGGCCAGCTACCAGCTGTTAGAGTCAACCCACATAGGGCGTTTACAAACAGTGGAGTAGATTATGCTGGACCTATACTAATGAGAGCATCTAAGGGTCGGCGTCATCATACAACAAAAGGGTACATTTGCTTGTTTGTATGTATGAGTACTCGCGCGATTCATCTCGAGGCTGTCACTGATCTAACTTCCCAAGCATTCATTGCTGCATTTCGTAGGTTTGTCGCACGCAGAGGCTATTGTTCCCACCTATGGAGTGACAATGGGACGAACTTTGTTGGAGCAGCTAAGGAATTAAAGTTTCTGTTCAAAGGGGGCAAGGATAGTGTCACTCAAGAAGTAGCAGCAGTATTGGCAAATGAGGGAACAACCTGGCATTTCATACCTCCAAAAATGCCAAATTGTGGAGGTTTATGGGAGGCTGGAATAAAGTCAGCAAAGAGACACCTTAACCGAGTCACTAAGGATACCAAGCTAACATACGAAGAGATGGTTACCTTTTTAGCTCAAATAGAGGCTTGCCTCAATTCTCGTCCTCTTTGCCAAATTGATAATACTACAGAAACTCCTTTAACACCAGGCCATTTCTTAGTTGGAGAATCTTTGATCGGTGTGCCAGATTTAAATTATGAATACCAGAAAATCAGCCTTTTGAGTAGATGTCAAGTCATCCAAAAAATGACACAAGACTTTCGGCGTCGGTGGCAGTGCGAGTATCTCAATACCTTGCAGCAAAGACATAAATGGCAAGTGGCAGTTCCGTCGCCAAGAATTGGAGCCTTGATAATCATCAAGGATGAACTGACACCCCCGACACAATGGATTCTCGGTAGAATTAAAGATCTTCATCCTGGTGCAGATAATTTAGTGCGAGTAGTAACAGTAAGGTGCAAGGGTAATAATGAACTAAAAAGACCATTGTCAAAATTAATAATACTTTCAAAGGATGTTGAGCAAAATTAAGTAAATTCCATCATAGTTTATTATTATTCCATAATAGTAAAGTCCCTAATATTATGAGTGATTACCGTTGCATATGTTTTACTTTAAAGAATTATTATTTGTTATTGAATATTTTTTTGTAATAAGGATTTAAGTTCGCAGAAAACGTTTGTAATTGAAAGTTCCTTGATACTAATGTAATTAATTTTGAGCTAGTATATAACTTTTGTTACTTACTAAAGGTACCTAGCATATACTTGTCATGCTTGACACTTATAATCATAGTATTATTTCCAATATCTATGTCTATACTAAGGTAAATTATTTATGCACGTTTTTTGGGTTTACAATTAAAAACTATTGTTTTTGGCGGACGGTATGTCAGATACGTATTGTCGCATCATTTGCCATGCAAGTTTTAGTCTTAATAAAATCATTATAGAGGAAACACGTGTTATCAATTCGCAGTCACCTGATAAAGAAATCTCAACCTTATGTCCAAGACAAGGAGTTTGGGCATTTAAGCAACAGACATAGGTGGGCAACTAAGCTATAATAGACTTACTGGAGATTAATTAAATTATTGAAACTGGCAGTCAGTGAACGTGTGATTCATTAATATAGGCGGCCGGTGTTCGCTGTGCGGTCGGCCGCTACTGCGTCTGCTGGCGGCTGCGAGACCCGCGCCCTCCGCTGTAGGCTGCACGTTCTATCAGTTATTTTAGGACCAAAGCAAAGTAAAGCAAAGCTTAATCAGCGATACTACGGTACACTAACTGAAACTACAGACACGTTTAAACCGTACCATTGCTTACCGTTTATTATACAGTAACGAGTCTTAACGAGAGTAGACGAAGTTTGCCGTGTTTGGCGCCGACCGCGACGCGCGCGTGCCGTGGTTAAAGATGGGCGTTTTTAGATATTTGTGAAATCGATGCGCATCGGTATTAGATAAATCGCATTGGATGCGCGCATCGATGCCGGCATCGCATCGAATAATCGACCTGCTTTATTGAATATTAATTACATTGCGTGTTCTTAGAAAATTAATAATAATTTTCGATGACGCTGTTGTAGTAAATTAATCTTAGAACATAGTGATATAAACAAAGCGATACCATTTTTGAAAATAATAATTAAAAAAAAATCTGGTAACATATTCATAATCGGCCTTTTTTTCGGGATCGTTTTTTTAACACCCGGTATAGTATCTAACCAGATATGACCGAGGGGGACCGGTGCAGACTGCAGATACGTTCACTACCCTTAGTTCGAGTTTTACAATTACGAAAACTATGATAGTTTTCGTGAGCTCGCACAAACTGTCAGTTTAACTCATCAATGGTATAGTACAAGTTATTTTTTTTCGAGCATCGTTTAAACGATATCGTCCATCGTTAACGCGATAGTACGAACTTCACGGTGCATATTTTCATCTCTCTTGCACGCTTGGAGAGAAAAAAAGGACAGACTTCTGTCTAATATGGATGTCTCACTAACCACAGTGTTCTTAGGAATCACACTAGATTCAAAGTTGCAATGGGGCCCACATATTGATAAATTGTCGAAGAGACTTAGCTCTGCAGCAGATGCTGTAATGAAAATACGTCAGTTAACGGATATAGAAACTGCCAGATTAGTCTATTTTAGTTATTTTCATAGTGTAATGTCTTACGGTATTTTACTGTGGGGAAATGCCGCCGACATTCAAACAATATTTGTGTTGCAGAAGCGGGCTATTCGATCAATTTATAATCTTAAAGTTAAGGACTCTTTAAGAAATAAGTTTAAAGAATAGGCATAATGACGGTTGCATTACAATACATATATGAAAACTTAGTATATGTCAAAAAAAATATTAGTTTATTTACTAAAAATAGTGAAATACATACACTTAATACTAGAAGTAAAAATAAGTTAACTTTACCTGCTACTAGGCTCCACAAAATTAATAATTCGTTTAGAGGCCTCTGTGTTCGCTTTTACAATAAAGTCCCAAGCAATATTCAAGAGTTGAGCCTGACTAAATTTAAATCGACTATTAAAAAAACTCTTATTAAGAATGCTTATTATAAAGTGTCTGATTATATTACAGACAAAAATGCTTGGGTTTGAACTGTTCCAACCGTTCCAACGGGTATTTCTATATGATATATATTATGAATGAATCATGTGTTGATGATACTTCTATTGAAAAGCTGTATTTAAAGCTGATTACGTAAGGAAGAATATCAGACTATTTAAGAAGATTTGAATGACAAAACGGCGTGGTCATGATTTCTCCATTGTTTTTGCTTTGTAATTGTTTGCAGTGTCCTACAGATAAATGACTTTAAGTTTAAGTAAATATGATGTGGTTGATATAGGTGGTTATGGGTAGTCATGCTCCCTTAAAAGTCTCTTTGGTGGTGTCGTGTGAGGCGGGTCGTTACGTTCCCTGAAATATGGTTAAGCGAAGCGATGGCTGGTTCATGCGTCATGCTCGTGAGATGAGTCTGCTATCGCGTTAACGATATCTTCCATCGTTAACGCGATAGTACGAACTTCACGGTGCATATTTTAATCTCTCTTGCACGCTTGGAGAGAAAAAAAGGACAGACTTCTGTCTAATATGGATGTCTCACTAACGAAATTAACTTATACTGCCGATTAAAGTTAATTACAGTTTCCGCTAGTGGCGCTGGTGTGAAATGTATGGAAACAAAACGAGACGATCATAGTTTTCGAAAACTATCAAAACTCGTACTAAGGATACTGTACACCTAGCACGAACCAATATCGAATTCGAATCGTTTGCGAGTCCGAAATGTCAATGTCAAATTTTGTATGGAAACTTGAACAGCAGCGCCACAAAGTCCGTAACTAGAACTAAAAATCAGTACATATTTGACAATGACATTTCGTACTCGCATTCGATACGAATTCGATATTGGTTCGTGCTAAGCTAAGGGTACAGTAGTGAATGATAGTCTTGGGCATAGTAGTTCGCAACTAAGATCACTCAGTTTAGGTCGCCGACCCTAAATGAACTACATAGTTCGCCCTTCTAGTTCGTCAGCTCCCAGCTCGAATCAGTGAAAGGCAGATCATTCGTTCGTTTTGATATGGCTCTGGACGTATGTGACAATATTATCGAATGCTGTACTTTTACTTGCAATTTTGTACTTTTAAAACAGCAAAAACCTCCGTTAGTTTATCCGTGGGAGCGCTCTTACGATCTAGTTCGTTCGCGAACTACACAAGATTAGTGAATGAACGATTCGTTGGTATAGGAGGCGGCCGGCGCTCGCTGGGCGGGCGGCGGTATCGTGGCACTGTGCGGTCGGCCGTTACTGCGTCTGCTGGCGGCCGCGAGGCCCGCGCCCTCCGCTCGTAGGCTGCACGGCCTCTGTTAGACTGCGCGTTGTCTGCTAAACGGTATGTATAAAACACTATACTCTATACAACGACACTAAAGGGACTGTACATTTTATGGCGTTATAGAGAGTTTTCGTTAAATGGAAAGAAGAAAAATCAGAATTATGAAAAGAAAATTTTTATTTCAAGCTAGTAAAATAATCTTATTTGACGCTATTGCGTATATTCTGACATTTTTGTCTGCTCCCACTTGATCGCAGTTTGTTTAAAACCAATTTTTAGGTAATTTGTAATCCATATTATTAATACTCGTTGGTTATTAGTTGATATTCATTACTTCCGCCCGCGTTTTAGTTAGTTTTTTGTGTATATTACAGGAACCAGTTTTAATCCGCAATAGGGTATTTTCCAAATTTTAGAAAACTGCTTATATTTAAAGATTGGGACAAACGATTTCACAGAAAAATAAATAAATTAATGTCTTGTTTTCTCCATTAAACCAATTAAAGTGGAATTTATTATTAATGGTTTTGAAATTACCACCAAAACTCTCGGGCTCGGAAAATACTCTATTGCTAGTATCCTATGTCTCAATCCAGGTAATAAACTCTATGTATGTAAAATTCCATCCAAATTCGTTCAGTCGTTTTTGCGAGAATGAAAAGATCTAAACATAAAACGTTCACATGGAATATCTCCATATAGAAACTGATTCCCAATCCACACTGATTCGAAGATTTAATTAATATGAATTTGATACAAAATTATTTATGATAGAAAAATAAAGTTGAGTTTAAAACTGAAAATATTTTTTATGACTTCCATAACAGGTATAGGTACTCTGCAAAAAGTAAAGATGTGACCAAACATAACGCGGCAAGTGCGGAGCAACGTTTCGTATGATAAATCATCCATAATCACGGCGCGGATGTTGCTTGAAAACAGCGATCTACTTGGATGATTCACGAGCTTTTCCATCCGCCGCTTTATATTTGAACACTCCTTAGTTCGCCCACCCCGCCCCTCAAACGTCGAAGTAATGCATCGCCTCTAGCATCACAGACGTTGTTCTATCTACGTTTGATTTACTCCAAGGGGCCATTATATTTCTACAGCCTTTTCAACAACGTCTTTCCGTGAACAAGAACTAGGCAAACACGGATCCGCTCAAGATTTCCCTACTTCACGGGTGTAAACATCGCTCCCCGCCGATCGATAGCGGAGTTCTTGTGAAACCTTATGAGTGTTATTTTCGCGGAACGCTGCCACGCCTGTCGGCGACTGAATTTAATCACCTCGCTAATGGCAATGCAATATTAATTAAATTGTATTTGACGTTATACGAACTAGCGTCACTTTCCATTTACAATTTATACCGAGAGGAGTATTGAATATCCTATTTACTCTTTTATAATATTATGGTGTTATTGAATTATTAAACTCGGAAGTGTCAGTTGTTCTGTACGGTGTTCCATATTCGTATTCTCATCGCTTACGTTTTCATTTTGATAACTGAGGCCCAAACACGAATTTTTGACAGCTTCGTAACGTATCGCAGCGCCCCTATCGGACGTAAGATCAAACTTGCTTTTTCCATACAAAATTTGACGTAGACCGTTAGAGACGTTAAGGAGCTACTAAAAATTCGTACTCGAGCCCGTTTATCGCATGCACACAGGACTTTGGAATATTAACCCTAGACCTTGTCGTAGAAAATCTGTCTTAATGTCTCCTTTTCTAGTTTACTATGATAAATCATTCTATGTTGTGTCCTATATAATTTATATAGCATTGGTAGATAACTTTCACTGTAAATAATAAATGAAGCAAAATTTATTGTTTAAAAGATTAAATTATTTTTCCCAGGTGTAAATTATTGATTGATAATAATAGAATTATATTTAATTAATTAAAAATAAACTTTTGATTGATTTGATGTTGTCTGAGCTCATTTGTTGCACACTTAGGATGCAAATCTATTTTTTCGTGTTACTATTATCACGTTGATTTTTTGTTTCATATATCCACATAGTGCATTTCTTAAAGGAGTGACAAGAAAATATAAAGATTGCCACGAGTTTGACACGTAAATAAGGTGGATTAAGTTAAGGCATGAGTTGAGTATGTAAATAAAGTTGAATGATTTATTATCTACTTGACCGATCCGGCGTAACGCGACTGAAAATACGCCGACGTATCTTCCATCATCAGATGTATGGGGATCCTTTCCATATCGCAATCGCTGCACTGATTTAGGTTTAGGGCGCTATGTGCTCTGTCTGAATAACATAATGTGCTTTATGATTCTTCCACTAGATGGTATATCTTTATATTTTTGAAGTCCCAACTTTAAATTTAGTTATAATTATTACGAATAGAAGATTGTTAGATGCCGTAATTTTTTTCTTTATAAATTTTAGAAATGGAATGTTAAATAAGTTGAATGTTGTGCATTAAAATATATGTAGATACATAAATTGTTGTAAATAAATAATGTTATATTAATTATTACATACTAACATAAGTTTTATTATTTTTATTTATTCAGTGTACTAGTACTGAAAATGTAATTGTCACATACGTAAAGACGTATAAAGAACTGTGACTGTTTTTTTAAATCAAAAAGTTGATCTAGTGCATCATTTAGGTGCCGTATTGTATTACACAGTATGAATGAAGACCAAAGATAAACAAATTTTGTTATACATTTCTATTGACGTCTTGTGCTTTTCGGTGCCAACATACATAATTAAATTTTTTATGTATCAATTAACAAGTGCGACTGTACCCTCGAGTTCTTCTGACTTGTCTGTGTGGTGCTTGCTGGTTCTTTATACTTATATAGAATTATTTTTATGACATGTCTCCCTTACAAATTGTTTCACAAGAACTTATTTAATATTTGAATTCAAAGCTCTTGAATATATACGTTTTGATTACTTACTAAGGTAAAGAGAAGTGTTCAATAAGTAATGATGTTAATTTTAATCTTCTTTCACTCTGAAGAATGTTCATGGGTAGGTTCTATCTATACTTCAACAATTTTGTACAGTACATCTATAACATAATTTTTAGATGTGTTTTATTGAGATTAAATTGTTGTAAAAGTGACATGTTGTGTTATTCTAATGTTAAAGCAATGAAAGTGATAGCGTCAACTTCAATGAAACTAAATATTAATTGACGTCACTGAGTGCAGGCGTTTTTTGTTTTTAAAACTATCCCGTCATTTCTTATCTTGGATTTCTATGTTAAGTTAAATAATTTGATTTTATGTATTTATTTGTGAAACTTTCTTGAAAACTGGTCATTTCTAAAATGAGACGAACAAAACCATTTGGCCAATAATGCGAACAAACAATTTTAAGTATCATAATAATACTTGTCTGTTTTCTTATTACTACCATCTGCAAAGAACTTAAAGAAACAACTGTATCTGTTGGTGATCTGAAATCTTTAATCTCGATTGTAAGTTATGGGATCATAAATTCTGTTTGGACTCAAATGTTAAAGGTGTCTAGCTTCAGGTTTTATATATCCATTTGGTCCCAGCAGATAAGTTTTTTAATACTCACATTCACCATATAAAACTGTAATATTTACACAACAAAAATCCAGCAAAATATCGAATTACTTTTAAGTCTGTGCAATATAAATGGATATCTAAATGAGAGCTTTGTAATTTGTACATTTTATATTGTATTTGTATGATTGAAGTACATCTGTTTATAGTTAATAGCTTTTAGCATTTTAAACTGATATTCAAATAACTGTGTACCTGGTTGCCATCTGTATTTGGCATTTAAATAAGGCTTTTGCAAAATGTCCAGTCCAGATCCTGTAGCAATTAATTAGACCTCATATACATAATACCTATATGTAAAACAAAAACCGACTTTATTTATAAAAACAATGTATAATGCATTGATTTGAGATTTTGAATCTATATAGACTATTGTCTTGCCAATAAACATGGAATTTAGAAAATATTGTTTTTCAGTATTGTGTGTAATATTAATTTAAAAAAATATGTTGTATCAAAGAATCTTATTTTATAAACAAAATAATAAATATATAGTACCTTTATTATACATATTTTTAGTTTGAATGTTCTCTTAAAATGTTTGTCTCAAATAAATGTATCAAAAGCAAGTTATTTAATTTTTCTAACAGTTGCTTATGAATAATCAAAGCGCCTAGAGACGCAGCCAGCGCATATTAGGGCGTCCGCTGCCTTAAGCGAGTGCACGGAGCGGAAGTCTGCTCCGGAACTACTTTCAGCCCCCTTAGCATGAGCACCGCGATATGATATATAACACGTTTTTATCACGCTCAATTGTCAAATTACTATAGAGTTTGACAGTTACACGCTATAAAAAATGTGATATAATGTAAATTGTGGTGCTCATGCTACAGGGACAGGATATGATATATAAAGTTTTTATCACACTTAATTGTCAAATTACTATGGAGTTTGACAGTTAGGCGCGATAATAAATGTGATATAATGTAAATTGTGGTGCTCATGCTACGGGGACAGGGCTGAAACTACGTTAAACGGGCGCCCGACGTGTATCTACGCACGTAGATATGTCGGTGGGCTCCGTGGGAACCAGTTTTCGCAGTGTCACTAGTTAAATTTGACGGTATTAACGTACAGTGGGACCAAGTTCTTGTGGGAGGGGTGCTGCTGGTGGACTGATGATTGCTAAGCAATTAAAATCTCTTCACTTGTTCAAATTAGTTCTAGTTTCGGCCACGTTCTACAAGATCTTGGTCGCACTGTACAATCTTGAATCTCCAGTAGCCCAATTTGGACGCAACCAAAAGCCATGAGCGTTTTTTTTGCTGCCCCAACGTTCGGCGCTACATACAAGGCTCAGGTATGGAGGGAGTAGGTACTTCAGGTTGCCCCACATACAACATAAGGGTTGGTTATGTTATTCTGGCGCGCTCGAGTAAATCCCAAAATCCCCGCTTGGATTCTCCCTTGACGGAATGTACATACTCGTCGCAAAATGTCCCTATCTCAATATTTGTTTCGCAAAATGAACTCCTTTTTGAATAGGGTTTATTTAGGCCATTATGTATCAGGAAAAATGATCATTGTGAAGAAGCATTTTGAGAAAGATAGTTTGGAGTTCGGCGTTCATTTTGCCTGAGGTACTGCGACTTATCTAAACTTGTCAAGAAAAATAGATTCTTCGATTTCTTAATATTTTTGGACCTGAATTATCCTTATTGCCCCCTCAGTCCTGAGAACCACTCTTCAGTTTATCCATACCAAGTTGCCATACATTTGACACTTTTCCACATCCCGCTTGTGAAAACGTAAATCAAATTGAATAATTGGGATCGTAGCAAGCAAACTTCATTAGAGCGATCATAGATAGCTACCAGCAACGAAATGAGGTCGTTTAACAGTGATAATGCTTGGCTCCACCAGCGAGTTACATCACGGAAAAAAGAGCTATCCAAGGCCGCGCGCAGCTTGGAGTAGGCAAAGCAGTGCTTTTTTTACTATTTCTTGTGTTTCTTTCTTGTATCGTGAATGCCATTTACTTAATTGCCATTTTCTTTTCATGAAAAGGATAACAATACAGCTCAGCATATGTTGTTGAGTTGGATCATATTTTATTTGATGCTAGTATGAGAGTACCGTATCTTCCCTTTTTGTTTTCAATCAAAGCCAAGATGAGATCATATGGCTTCCACTGTCAAAAAGTTAACAGATCTCATGTAGAACCGCTCCTAACTTACATACTATACCTTAGTTAGTTAGTTAGAAAATGTGGCTTGGCCGTTGCGTTACCACAAGAACTATTAAGATTACTTGCTCAGTGAAGTGTATAACAGAAAAGTAATGAACAGTGGATAAATTTTTCACCTTACCGTGTAGTTGCTGAAGTTAGACCTTGTAGAGTAAGGAGCTTGGTTCTTCATTCTACATGAGATCTGATAACTTTTTGTCAGTATCATATAACGTGCATATCACTTATGGTCTCGTCTTGGCAACACTTGACATAAAAACGTTTTTAGTGGAATATTATATAAAATGTGTAACAGAAATAACGGACACCCTGAATGTAATTTGTTTGAAATTGGCTTCTTAATCGATTTCACTAAAACATTCTGAAAAATAATTGCGGTTAATTCAATCATTCTAAACAAAAGAATATGATACATAATCTACAAGCTATTTTTAACTTTAATAAATAATTTTACATACATTGAGATATCACTGGTTAAACTGATTAAATAAAAATTACTGTAGATTCATTTGCACATTTTTAACAAACTACTCTCAGTGAGTTATTTCTGTTACTCATTTGTATTTATTAAGACAATTGAAAATATAAGTGCCTTACAATAGTGGCTACACACTATCATCAAGGTTCGTTATATTTTAACAGATCATTTAAGACTGAACAAGACCGTGTATGATAAAATATTAGTTTCAAATGATCATTTTAAAACCTATAGTGATACTTATAAACTAAACGGAGCCAAGTATAATCTGTTTGGTACTGACACTGATTTGCTGCTGTGCTTGTGCTACATTGACATTTCAGAGGGAGTGAAATATATGCTGATGGGAGTTTTCCAAATTTAGCACAATTCAAAAAAGTTATTTCCTTTAGATTTATAATAATAATCTAAAAAAAAATAAGGTTTTTTAAGCAATTTAGTGCCTAAGGGGCCGTTCATAAAATACGTCACGCTAAAATCAGCTTTTTCCGACCTCCTGCCCCCCTATTGTCACTTTCTGTGACCCCTCTTGAAATATTCCGTCACAAAAACGGAGACCCCCCTCCCCCCCTTCAAGTATGATTAATTTCAATTGATAGTACACAAATTTTAAGAATTTAAATATTTAGTTTTTATAATAAAATTTAAATATATAAATATGCCCTAATGTCGAAAAATAAACATGAGTAAATATATCAAGTTACAATTTATTGTATAATAAAACTACACACATCAAGTGTCTAGGGATCAAGCATTTTTATGCGGATTTCTTGAGATTGAGATGTGGCTTTGTAATAAATTTATGATTTTATAAATTTATATGGATCCTTTTTGGTGCATTTCATAATTTGAATCAGGAACTGTGAATCAAATTCGAGTAAAATATGAAAATCAGCTGTCAATATTTTCCCTATAAAAACATACAACGCATTGAAGACATTATTAGTGCTACTGTTTCCCTACTACTGATTAAAACCAACGTTATTATGGAGCGGCGACGTCATTTAAGCAGGGAAGAAATGCTCAGAGCCGTGGGAATGATAGAAGCTGGTTCCCGGCAACGTACTGTGGCTTTAGCTCTGAATACAAGTCAGAGTGTTATCAGTCGACTTTGGACACGATACCGAAGCACTGGTACCGTGGCTGAGCGCCATGGAGGACGGTATCGCTGCACCACACGGAGACAAGACCGATACATTCAAATCTTAACTCGAAGAGCTCCAACAATAACCGCCATGATGTTAGCCGTGAGGCTTCATCACTCTTCAGGGAACTTAATTAGCGACCAAACAGTCAGAAACCGCTTGCATGAAGTGAACCTTCATTCCCGAAGACCGCTACGGGTACCACCTATAGCAATGCACAATCGTAGGATTCGATATCAATGGGCTCTTGAACACAGAAATTGGGCAGAAGAACAATGGCGTTTCGTGTGCTTTTCTGATGAGTCTCGTTTTGGTATGAGACCGGATACAAGACGTATACGACACTGGAGAACCCCTGGACGCCAACAGCGATTAAAATCCTGCCAGGAAGTCCATCCTTATAGTGGTGGAACCATCATGGTATGGGCGGGTATTTGGATCGGCGGAAGAACTGAGTTGATTTGGATCAGAGGTAACCTCAACGCTCAAATTTATGCTGAGACGATTGTATCAGACGTCATCGTTCCTCTACAAGTGCAAATCGGTCCCTTATTTCAGTTAATGCATGATAATGCACGACCGCACACCGCAAGAGTTGTAAGACAGACTCTCGCCGCAGCTAACATCAATGTCCTGCCCTGGCCTGCTCAGTCGCCAGACTTGAACCCGATTGAGCATGCATGGGATATGCTACAGAGAAGAGCTCTGCCGAATATGGAGGGTATCCAGTCGCAAGAAGACCTTTTTTTGTTGTTGCAACGAACATGGGCGGCCATTCCACAGCGTGATTTGGATGAACTCATTTTGAGTATGCCAAACCGATGTTCTTGTGTTGTTAGTGTTCGCGGTAGAAATACGGATTATTAATTGTTTAAGTTACCCAATAAAATTTTAGAGAAAACTGTTATTTCAGTCTTTTTTTCGAACTTTTGTGTTAGTGGTTCAAATGTCAAAAATCCCTTTATTAGGAAAATGGCAAATTTCTTTATTAATGCAAAGGTGACTTGGTTTATCGTTACTGTGACAAACGAAAACACTTTATTTGATGAATCCTTAAAGAAAATTTTAATTAATATCAATCAGGAGAAAAGTTATTGAAAAAATATATGTTGATCCCTAGACACTTTTGATGTGTGTATATACATTTGAATGTCTATATGTTTACTAAATACGAAATAAATGATTTTCTATCTTGATGAAAATTGAGAAAGAAAAATAGTTGAAAGAAATACTAATTTAAAATTTTTTAATGAACAACGAACGTCACGTTGCCGTAGATCCCCCATCCCCCCTTGTCACATCTTGTCACACTTAGCAAGACCCCTCCCCCCCCCCCCCCCTTGTATGCGAACGTATTTTATGAACGGCCCCTAATATGAAAATATAATAAAGTACAGTTCCTTTCAAATGTATATATACATTTGTTAAAGTATTTCATTTGACGTTGTAGTTTATCTACACGATGTAAGAGGTAGCGCTGCCTTCTTGCCTAATACTAGAAGAAATTCGACATGTACATTAAGGTAGCAGAAGGTGCTAGTTGAAATTCAGCCTGGAACCTGGGCAAAGTGGAATGGTTTCCAGTAAAATCTTCTTTAAATGTTAATAGGTTTAAAAAATTTGCACATTATGACAGTATTATTTGATTTATTTACCTTTGCTAGTTATACATTGGTAAAAATATTAATGCTATGAAACAATTTGACTTAGCATTTGGTTTGTAACAATAAATTCACGCATAGTTCAATGGGAGCTAATTGTAGTAAGATATATTCATCAATAGACAGACTTCATAACAGCATTTTAAAGAGGCATATTGTTACAAGGTCTTTCTATTCAATAGAAACCTAAATAGGTTTAAAGAATCATTTAATAAGTAGCAAAGCTTCATTATAAACCAGTAGTATTTTATCTTATGTGCCTAAGAAATAAAAATTTCCTAAAATATTTTACACTTGATCAAGTTATACTAAAAGGGAACAAAATGCAGACATCCCTTAAACAATTCAGAATTCAAATTAATCCAATTTATTAGAAAACATACCTTTATAATAATTTTAAGAGCAATTTATACATAGACTGATTTAAATATTTCCAGCCAATATTATATAAACAACTTTTATTGTAATCATATTTAATGATTTGAATAAATACAATTAGTTGTTTATAAATTAAGGCATAAAGATACCTTAATAAAATAAAATGTCAGTAAACTAGCCTTAAAATATCAAAGCAAGTTTAACTTTAAAAGGCCACAGTAATTTAGGTATGATAAATAAACAGGTGTACCTCTAAGTGGGTAGTTAAGAGCATATTTAGACAGGTTTCTTAAAAATATGAAATCACTTGCCCAATCTACTACAGATACAAAATAATATGAACAATATACAACACTGCTAAACCAAACCAGCTGATAAATGCATTATTTTTATACCATTTTTAACTTATGACATGTATATTAGCTCTGTGTGATATTCAATATCTAAGCATCAAGAATATTGATAGCAATAAAAATGCAGCCAAATAAATCATTGGTGGTAGATTGGGTAAACTTTAAGACATATTCAGCAAAAGTAACTAAAAAGTGCTTCCCTCTGGTGGCTGGGAGAGTTTCATGTTCTCCTTCAAAGTCATGAGACGTCTAAGTTCTTGCAGCACTGTCTTGATAGTGTAGTCTCGTTGCCATCGTGCAAGAATCGGAACTTGCCGATTGTCCACCTGAAACATTGAGGTAACACCTTTTTTCTCGTATTCATTGTATTACACACAGATATATCCAAAAAGTACTTACAAGTCCCGTTTGACTGTTTACACAGTTCATGTTGATTCTAGAAATAAATCTAGCAGTTGGAGGCTCGTCAGGGTATCTAGTACCACATTCAATTTTAAGAGAGTACATCCTATTTTCATAAGGAGTCTGAAAATAATCAAAGTTTTATTACATATTCGGAAACACATCATATTTACAGTAAGTTAGTTGTGAATTGAAATTTACCCTAGGGGGGCCGATTATCATGCCAGTCCAATGAGTTAGGGTCATATCATCATCACTTTCTAGACCCCATGAAATGGTGCCATCACCAACACCTTTTTGCCCTTGTTCAAGTTCTTCAAGTAAGCGAAAATTACGTGGTACGACTAAAAACGCAAAAAATAATTAGATGGGTTTAAAAATAACAATACCACTCCCGCACGTTCGAAACTTGTGAAGTCATAATCTTACCAACGCCTGATGACGGATTCGCCATGATCACAATTACACCGGCGAGAAGTACAGAAAGAAAAGGTTAGATACTAAATTTAAAATGCCATATATTTAATATGCAAGTTATCGTTAGCTTTTATGCAAATAAGCAAGCAATCTTTGTTTGATTTTACAACGAATTATTTCATGAGCTCAGGATTTTTCACTCAAAGAGTAGGACAGGACAGGTTAACAACTTTTTTTGGTCGACCGACTTTGACAAATGTCACCCTGACCTTGTTGTCTATGGCCTATCTTTTTAGCATGGACGAACTGACTGCTATTAAAATTTACAATAGTGTTAGGTGTCGTTTTGTCAAGATATGCTTAACACACAAGATACCATAGCACAAACTAAATTGTATAAGTACAAATGTTTTTTTAATTTCAACAGAATTTCATAATAAACATTATCACAGTAAGCTTGACAGTAGGATGTTGGCTCTTACTTTATTGGAACAAAGGTACCTCATGTTGCGTCTCTTTCTACCTAGGATTGTGGTAAGGGCATGATATCTTTTTTCTACACTCTGTCAAACGGCTGTTACACTATCCAATTTTAAGAGCCCTATCGAAAGTGTGGGCGTGTCCCCTAGCTAGGGCAGCAATTATTACACCGCCCCATCAATTGGACCCTAACTCAGTCTGAAATTATAAGTTATCTCAATTGAACGTCGTCGTTATGTGTCCGTGATACTAGCGTACACACGATCAATGTACGGTTTTTCGTTATGCCATTAAATACTGCGTAAATAGTGCCAGATTAGTGTAAAAATAAAAAAATGTGCCTCTTTAATTTAAAAAATGAAGACCATTTTTAACTGTGTACGCTAGCATAACGTATCCATGGGTACGCTAACCCATGGATATCTCCAAGAACGGCATATATTTAAGCAACGAAATTGACACACAAAAATCATGAGTATGTTAGCATCACGGACACGTCGCTATAGCACCCGATGCATTCTGATCATTTTTTACCCGGCTGCGCAATGCAAGAGCGCGAAGCGCGACGCGCAGACAGGGTTATGTGTTTAACAGTCTATATATGTATGTTTGTTCCTTTGTGGCACACTAGAGACCAAACGCCTGGACCGATTTTGATGATTCATACATCAATCGATACGTCTCAATCATGGGAGTGCTACTAAAGATATGATAGTAATCAAAATTCAATATGGGCAACATTAGGCGCCATATTGTGACGAAGTAAAAAAAATAAGTTGACAAAATATGTCGAGTGGGGTATCACTGTCTAGATAATCAAAAATCATATTTAGGTTCCTAACACCATTTTTCATTTTATATGATTGGTTAGGATCTACAACGCTTTAAAGTTGTATATTAACCACTTGCGCTTTTAATTTCAATCTTACGTTTGTATGGATCTTTGTTACGCTTTCACCTAAAAAATACTGAATGGATTTTAATGAAACTTAACAGTAATATAGCTCATATATGATAATTACATATATATAATAATTTATGTAGTTGTTGAGTGAATTGGCCAATATATAGCAATAAGTGTTACATAAGACGGAAAAAAATGTCCCATCTGCGAGCCATTTTGGCCTGCACTGCAAAAACAATAAAAGTTACATGAATGTAATGTAGAGTGAAAATGTATCTCTTAAATAGTTCTAAAAAAAAGTCCGTGACACCATATATCTATTTTTAATGTGTAAGTCATTACCGCTAAAATAGTGAATCAAAACTTAAATATTATTTGATATCTATTTCCAAAATGCACATTTTGTATAAACAAATCATTTTTTATCAAAACAAATACTTTAATCGCTTTTGATATGTAAAGACGATAAACTTTGCTTTTTACACTATGTCATTTCGACAAATATTTAAAAAGTTACAACGATGACAAAGTGATAGCGCGGTATACTATATAAAAGAAAATTTGATAATAAATGAGATTGCTATGGTGCTCTACCTAACGTTATGAAAATTTTATTATGCGCCTTTAGTTAAATCAAATATTGGTGTCGATTCCAGCATGATTCTCTAAATCTAAACTTAAATTTGACAGCAGTATATCCTTGTCATTCTCTATACAGAATGAAAAGGAGAGACTGACGTCAAATTTAGTTTTAAGTTTAGAGAATCACGCCAGAATTGGCACCATTATAAACTTTGCTTTGGTGATTGCATAATTATTTAATTTAGTGACCTAAGGCAGTTGCCACCATTGTCCAAAACAACAGACGGGAATTACTTCTTGCTTCAACCTGCGACATAAACGTCATTGATTGGTATTGTATATAGGATGATTAAAAACATTTGAAATTAACTTCTAGCATCTACATATTGGGTTTCTGTGAATTATGTAGGTATATCAAATTAAGTGACTAGGGACTGACACTGAATTTGTGTATATCACATTTTTGTTTTAATCTAAGATATCACAATCTTAGACGTCCGGCATTGACATGACAATGCAGCCACTGCCAATTTTAAATAGTCGACGAATAAAAGTAAATGAATTTTATATTTACTGCTAAACTATTAAAAAAAACATAAACAAAAGATGACTTTTTGAGTAAGTGCTAGTTTACTATAAAATTTACATACATTAGAGATATTTATGTAACGACTTGATTTAACTTCACACATTTTTGCGAAAATTGAGGCCCATCTGTAGCCTTGACCCCGCTGGTAAAGTCTTTATATGTCTTAATAAATCAATCTTTTAGACCGACGCAAGGTACTTAATAATTCCCGCGATATTAATTCCCTTAGAGAAGTAACAAGACTACGGTATATACCGTCTTAAAATACTAACTAAAAAGTGTGAAATAAAAAAGGTAAATTTAAAAAATCAAAAAACCCGACTGCTTAATTATTCTTCAAATAAAAACTGAAAAGAAAAAAACAAGTCCAGTAGTCTATAATTCTGTTAATAAGGAACAAAGCTACTTTAACAGTCGGGACCCACTGTTGAAAAATATTATGTATTCTTGAATATCTAATGGGTCCCGACTGTTAAAGTAGCTTTGTTCCTTATTAACAGAATTATAGACTACTGGACTTGTTTTTTTCTTTTCAGTTTTTATTTGAAGAATAATTAAGCAGTCGGGTTTTTTGATTTTTTAAATTTACCTTTTTTTTTTATAAACTTCTTTAACTCCTTCGACACTTTTATCTTTACTTAAAATGGTATGTCAAAAATCATCAAACAAAAATACCGATTTTGTTTAAAGTTGCTGATAAAAACTAAAACATACATTTTTAGTAACGCTCAGGGTTCTTCAATGTAACGATCTTAATTACATGTTTTGACATTTTGAATTTCGAACAACACAAATGCGGAGTTATGTGGTGAATAATCACACTATAATTATATTATTATTTGTATGATATAACATATATTAATGATAATAAGAATAAAACAAACATTTAAATTAATTTACTTAATCCTTCAAAGATTCTGTCAAAGGACCTGTGTTTTTGAGTGAAAAATGATAATAATGACGATTCTCGCATGACTCTCTAAAGCTAAACTTAAATTTGACAACAGTGCATCCCTGTCATTTATGTACAGAATGAAAAGGAGAGACTGATGTTATATTTAATTTTAAGTTAAGAGAATTCCGCCAGAATTGGCACCAATGTATATTTAATTGTTTTTAATCTTGCAAAGGTTTTATACCTTAATATAAATTAGAGCATGATTTTATATAGTTTTGTAAAATTTTAATTCTACAGCCCTAAAATTACCGATTCGATTTTTATGACTAAATGCGCGTCTCTAATGACAATGCAGAACAATAATTATATCTTTCAAATGTGGAACTAATTTCGAATTTCGAATATAAAACTTTATGAACGCAGAAACGTCAACACGACCATTACAGCGTGCCGTTACTATAACTCATATTACACTACAATTAGTCACGGCAAAGGTCCCTTAAAATAGGGTAGTCTTATAGTCCTTTCAGTCTTTAAATATTAAGCTTATGAAATCTAGTGACGTACATCGTACACTCACTACTTTTCACTGACAACGAGGCGTCCACTCGTGGCACATCCCACGTCAGCTTGTTGACAACGCGGTATCCACTGTGTTTCCTCATCGACCACGAGTGGACATCGCGCAACGTTGCAGCGCTGGGTGGCTATAGTGAGTTGTGACCTTTAAGACCTTTCTAGTCTGTCTGTCTGTAATAATCTGTACTGTACATAATAAAAGGTACTCTGTGCTCTATATTCTCTTTGGTGTGACGTCGGCCAGGCTGCCGTGTGCCAGGCTGTGAAATTTTCCTTTTCGCTTCTTGTGATATTTTCAAAATACACGTGATTACATTTTATCAACAATAATCGATGCAGATTTCGACTCTTCAAGTTTTGTGAATTAGTAAAGCTTAAGATGATTAGTACTGTGATTTGATAGTGATAGTGCAGTTTTGGAGGTAAAATGCCCGCTTCCATTTGCGATCCAGTATCAAACGCATTGCGTTTATCTCTTACAGCAGACGAATCACAGAGTTCATCATTATTAGACAGTAGAATTTATTCATCTGCAAAAGGAGTGCTGTTGACAAAAATTGACTTTGAAGAATCAGGCGATTTTCAAAGTAATGTTCTTGACGGGTTGAAGTCTAAGTACGTGGTTATACGACCTAAAAAACCTGTGCTAGAGAGTAAACTGCATAAAAAGGAAGGATCTTCTTCTAACCAGACGCAAGGTAATTTTATTGATAATATCAACAAAAGCCAGACAAATTTTTATCTGTAATTGCAAACATCAATTAGATTTGGAGGTTATACTTTCTTATTTCTGTCAATATTTATCAATTTTGTTTTCGATTGTTTATTTTCAATACACAGTTATTTTTAAATAATGTATTAACCATAGCATTGTATATTGGGTTTCAGATGGTAATAAACATGCTGAAGAGGGATTACCAAAACCCAAAAGAATTTTATTTCCTGTGGAAAAAGTTCAATTGGGATGGCAGAATGCATGGGCCGCAGGAGCTGGCATGCAGAATGTCGGCAATACTTGTTATTTAAACTCAACACTGCAGGCCTTATTTCATGTACCAGCACTGGCTAATTGGTTAGTGAGCGAATCAACACATGCTGATAAATGTAACCAGCAAGGTAAATTATTGTTCTCCTTTAAATATTTTTTGTAACAAATGGTGATCAAATCAAAAATATTGAAATTAATGTATACCTCAAAAATTACAGAAGCTTGCGTTATATGTGGAATGCGTGCTTCTTTGATGGCAACACAAAAAAGTGGAGGAGCTCCCATAAAACCTTGGCAGGTATATTCTAAGTTGCGTCTGATATGCAGACACCTCACCCCTGGACGACAAGAAGATGCTCATGAATTTTTAAGGTAAGTCTCTCTCACTTTCTACTTAATTTACTGGCCTACATAGACCATAAAAAATGAGTAACAATTCTAATTTAGCCTAGTAACTAAACATTTTAATAAATTTTAAGTAAAATATTACAATTTTGTCACAGAAGTCCCAAATTAAGCAAGGCTTGTGCTATTAAAAATAATCTATAATGTAACTACAAGAAGTCAAGACTGAATTTATGTTTGATATTAATTTTGTACTAATCACACAAATGCCCCATGCCAGGTTTGATACCCTAGACCCCACGGGGCTTTAGGCTAGATAGTAATCATACATATCATATTTCCTACCTATGGTCTACAAGATGTATTTCATACAAACCTGAGCTAGAGCTCAGCTTAGAAGCTACATTGAAGCAACTTTCCTTATGATTTATGTATTTATGTTTGAACATATCGACAGTGGAAAAGCACAATCGTTTACATCACTTCGGTGCTGCTAAAAGTTAACATTAAATAAAAACTGAAATTAAGTAAATTTTTAGCAGCACCAAATTGGCATATAAGCGATTTTGCTTTTCCACCATAAGCGATTATACAACATATTGAATATAAATATGTTTTAGAGTATTGTTTTTAATATTAATCTATTAATAAACTAAACAGCATTTGTATTATGTTTTAAGAAAGCATTATATTGTTATTTTAATTTAAAATATTTGCTAGGTACTTGGTGGAAGCTATGGAAAAATGTTACCTATCACGCTTTGTGAACTCTGAGAAGCTGGAGCAGTACAGCAAAGAAACTACACCTTTAAATCAGATTCTTGGTGGATATCTACGTTCAACTGTTAGGTGTTTAGCGTGTCATCACCTTTCTACAACATATCAACACTTTCAGGTAAATAAATAATTGTTATTAAATAATTTTAAACACATGTCAAGAGTAATGTTTACAATAGGGTATTTAATAACTTTTTGTAAACAATCTTATGTTATTCACTTGTGTATAACCACTCCATAAAAGTTTTCTTTAAATAATTTATTACCTCCTTATGATGAAGACTATAACAATAGCCTTGACTACATAAATAAGGCAACATAACATTTATTTCACAGATATTTAAAATGTAAATTATTTTAGGATCTTCTACTGGATATAAGGAAGCACTCAACATTGGATGAAGCTTTAGACTCATTCTTCTCAAGAGAAAGATTGGAAGACTTGGGTTATAAGTGTGAAGCATGCAATAAGAAGGTAATAAGGAATATTTCTGTTTATTATTATTTTAGCTATTCAATCATAATTTTATTGCATTTGTTTGTTATGTGTGAATATGTAGGTCTCTATATACACTTTGTTGTACTTTTTTATTTATATATTTTTTTAAGTAATGCCCATTAGTGCTGATACATGCTTTCGTACGGTTGAACCAGGTACTAAATACGTCGCCTCAGAAATCATCTGAAACACTACCACTTATCTCTTTAAGTGTGCCTATAAGCTCTTTGTCATTAGAAAACTTGCATCCTTTTAGTGTTTTTTTTTTGTATAAGGAATAAGTACAAAGTCGCATGGCACTAAGTATGGATTATAAGGAGGATGTCCTAGTAATTTCACTCCAACTTTACTCAGATAGTTTATAGTTTTTCTGGCCCGATGTGCGGGAGCGTTGTCCTGATGCAGAAACCATGTGTCGAGTCTTGAGTTTGGTCACTCGTTTTTTAACGCTTCTAAAACTCGAGGCAAATATTTTTCCGTGTTACAACTTGCAGTAAGTCTTCTGTTTATCAAGCACGATAGTCGACAATATTCCGCGTTTTGAGGAAAATACAGCCACCATTTTTTTTTAATAGATGTTGGCGCATCTTCATCTTGAAACACCCATACTTTGTTTTGGGATTTAGTTGGGTAATCAAAGAAGTAAAGCCAAGTTTCATCATATGTAATGATTGAATGACGTACTTAGATTTGCTGCTGTCAATTTTTTTAACATCTCATGACACAAATTCATACGCTGTTGCTGTTCCCTGAACTCGTCAGTCATCCAACGTGGTACCCAAAGTGAACAAGGTTTCCTATCTATTAGATGATTGTGAAGAATTCAATTAACAGTTGGTGCATTTAAATTCAGGGTTATATGTCACATGTCGGTCTTTTACCAGTAGTTTTCTCATTGCCTTAATGTTTCTATTGATAGCTACCTCTATTGGCCTACCCGGCCTCGAATCGTCCTCCAAGCTAAAATTGCTGCGATTAAACTGAATGAACTATCTTCCTATAGTCCTAGTGCACACTCATTTCTTCAAAACTCTGTTGCTTAGTCAAGCCATGCTTGAAATTATGTAAAATTATTACACACATATAAAAAAATAAATATAGCCTTTCTTTTCTGATATAGTTATACTACTTACTAACTAGCCGTATTACTAATTTCCTATTGTTACAATTTAATTTAATTTTACATTGCTTACACTAATAAAAGAAAATTGGTAACACCAGCACTATTTTAATCAGGTTGTCCTCCTCGGACATAGGCCTCCTCTAGAATTTTCCATTTTTTCCGATCTCTTGCTAATTTGCGCCATACTTGTGGTAGGTCATCCTGCCATCTTCTTTGTGGCCGCCCTCTTGTCCTCCTCCCATCTCTGGGGTACAAAGATACGACCTCTTTGGTCCATTTTTCTTTGGGGGATCTGATCACATGTCCAATCCAACGCTATTTAAGTCTCCTCATTTTCTTGGAAACATCTGCCACACCTGTGATTTTTCTAATTCTGCTCAGTCTCCACTTGTCTTTCAAACGGATGTGCAGCATGCTTCTCTCTATCCCCTGCTGACATACCTTGAGTTTTTGACTGTGCGCCTTTGTCAGGCTCCAAGTTTAACACCCGTAGGTAAGTATTGGTAGGATGCACATGTTGAATACTTTACGTTTGATTGGCATTGGTTTGTTCTTATTCTTCAATATTTCCTTCAGCGACCAGTAACGAGCCCAGGTGTTGTTTACTCGTGTTTGCAACTCTTTATCTATCTGCGAGTTTGGTGAAATTATTTGGCCTAAATATGTGTAGTCATTCACATACTCAATGTTATGATTATTGACACAGATTTTTTGTTGATGTCTATTGGTCATGATCTTTGTTTTATTTGTGTTCATGGTCAGACCTGCTTTTTGACTTTCTGTTGCAAGTTGTAAGAGCATTTCCTGTAGAGTGACTGGGTCCTCCGCAAACAGTATCAAGTCTTCCGCAAATCGCAGGTGTAACAGCCTTCATCCATTAATATTTAGTCCCCTCTTTTCCCAATCTATTTTTCTGAAAATTTCCTCTAGCACAGCTGTAAAAAGCTTGGGAGATAGAGGATCCCCTTGTCTGACTCCTTTTTGGACTTTTAATTCCTCTCCAATTTTTTCTAATTGTACTTTTGCCGTGTTGTTGCTGTATATATTCTTTATGAGTCTAATATACTTATTTTCTATTCCTTGATTGAACAAAGCTTTATATATGTAGTTATGAGATAGCGAATCAAATGCCTTATTATAGTCTACAAAGGAAATATAATATGGTTTCCTGTACTCATTGTACTTTTCTATTACTTGTTTTACGACATGCATGTGGTCTACCGTTGAAAAATCTGCTCTGAAGCCTGCCTGTTCTCTTGGTTGTTCCGCGTCTAGTCGTTTGGTGAGCCTGCCTAAAATAATTTTCGAGAAAACATTGTATAAATTTGTCATGTGGCTAATGGGTCTATAGTTGTCTATTTTGTCTTTATCGCCCTTTTTGTAAATCAATATTATAGTTGAATTTGTCCATTGTTCCGGAATAATTTCCCTATCTAAGATTTCGTTAAATAGACTAGTAAGTGTTTTTAGTATAGTACTCAATGACGCTTTAAGCAGTTCATTGGTCATTTTATCTTCTCCTTTTTTTTGTTGTTTGTTGTTTGTAGTTCTTTTGTGATAGTATGGCTTGTCTCGTTTCGCTTTCTAGTATGTAAGGGGCTTCTTCTTCTTTGTTTAAATTTTCTATTGTTACTAATAGTTCGGATGAACTATAAAGGCTTTTTGATGTTCTTTTTGTAGTTGTATATTCCTTGTTTTCTTTGTTTTTTCCCTTCATTTTCGGTATCCAAAATGAGTGATCCTTAAGTTTCTACATTATTCTTTTGATTTCTCCTGTTTTCTCGATTTCAGATTGAATGCTGTTGAAACGTACTTCCTTTTTATGGTCTCTTATACTTGATGTGATCTTATTACTTATATCTTTTTAATGTTTTTTTTCTCTCTCTATTTAAGGACTTTTATCCTTTTTCCTGTCTGCAAGCATTTCTCCTCTTTCTTTGATTAGGGTTCTTGCTGTATGTCCTATTTTGTCCATTTTGTTTAACTTACTCATGTGTCTCAATTCATTTCCTAGATTAGTTAATATTTTTTCGATGTGTTATATTTTTCTTAAATTGAATCGCTATTTTTAATTTTATCCATCTGACTTTTTACTTTATTAAGGACGTTTTCTGATATTGGAGTCGCTATCTGATCTGGGGCCCAATTCTCGCGGTATAGATATTATATCACCTTCGATATATATCGAATGATCTGACTTTTATCGAAGGAAAACCTTTTTGCCCTAATCTCACCATGTCGCAATAGATATTTATCTACGGATGATCAGTAGACATACATCGACTGGTAAAGAGCCTTCGATATATAAATATCTATGGATCTTGGCATGTCAATCTTGTTATTTCCACTTTTTTTACCTATTATTTATTGTGTTGTCGTGTGTCTTTGCCAGTTATTGTTACCTCAAGATGTTGTTAACTGCCTTCATAAATAATTAGTAAATAAAGAAGTAGGTAAACAATGGTGTCGATTCTGGCGTGATTCTCTAAACTTAAAACTAAATTTATTATCAGTCTCTCTTTTTCATTCTGTATAGAGAATGACAAGGAAACACTGTTGTCAAGTTTAAGTTTAGATTTAGAGAATCGTGCCAGAATCGACACCAGTTTATATTAACGATGGATGAGTTGATTCATGTTTTCGTCAATGATTTAATAAATTACGTGATTGCTGCTGCTGTGCTAAGGCGCCGCCGTTGTGCGAGCAAGAGGGCCCATTTGAAATGAGGGACGCGGACTTCATAAAAAAAGTTTAAACAAAAATTTCGTTAGAAATCTTTAAAGTTATGAATGACATTGGTATCGATTCTGACACGATTCTCTAAACTTAAAACTAAATTTAACATCAGTTTCTCCTTTTCATTCTGTATGGAGAATGACAAGGATACACTGTTGTCAAATTTACGTTTAGGTTTAGAGAATCATGCCAGAATCGACACCATTTTCTTATTGACGATACGGAGTTTTGGCGGGATTTCTGCGAGTGCGGTTGGTATCTTATTTTAATTATTCTAAAATTCGTTCATAGTGGATATTGTGAAATAAAATTGGTGTGATTTGGTGTTACAACCGTCTGCGCAACTAAAGAATTAGTGGAATCTTTAAAATATACGCTATTCCGGTCAAGTGGAACTTTATTGTAGTGTTGACTACCTCACAGAAGCTTAGAGAAAAAGTTGACTCCATAAATTTCGTGCCAAACACTCCAAGAAACATTAGAATGCGTCACACCGACATTCGAATGTAATAAAAAGAAGATTAATATAACTAAAGACTAGGCTTTATGGGCATTGTTCCCTTTGCCTTCCCTGAAAAGGGAGAATTTTAAATAATAACGTTGAAATTATATACGCATACAATTTAGGTAAAGTTGAGATTTCTTATACTCAAAAAATGTATACACACATTTAATATGAATGGAATTCATAAAATATCATTTTGTTGCTTGTAAAATTCTGCTCTAATTTATTATTTATTTATATAGACTATGATGTTAACTTAATCGAGAAAAACTGAACGCATTCGGCAGTGAAAGAATATCTACGATAGATATAATATCATTGGAATATCGAAAATCCACGAGAATAGCATTTTTTACCATCAGTAGATATTTTCAATAGATATCCCTACTTTCGATATTATCTCGAAGCCGATATAATATCTACGCCGCGAGAATTGGGCCCCTGATCTGTTTTTTATGTATTTCCTAGTTCGTTTTTTGTTTGTAATTTCTAAGGTAGCTCTAACCATTCTATGGTTTGTGCTGAAGTTTAGGTTATTCACTATGCCTACATCATTGAATAATCCCGGTGTGTTGGTTAATACGATATCGATTTCATTTTTGGTTTTCCCATCAGGTGAAATCCAAGTCCATTTCCTGCTTCTTTTTTTCTTATAGTAGGTATTCATTATCCTTAAATTGTTTTCAAGGGCAAGATCGATGAGTTTTTGTCCATTTTTATTTCGCCTACCTTGACTGTAGAGTCCAATGATGTTAGTTTCTCTATTTTGTTGGCTACCTATCTGGCTGTTGAAGTCTCCCAGTACAATCTTATTTTTATTAGTTTCTTTAATAGTATCTTGAAGTGATGTATAGAATAAGTTCTTGTCTTCTTCGTTTGCTATTTCTGTGGGTGCATATACTTGTATGATGGACCATGGCTCTTTTCCATCTTGGATAGTCAAGTCCAAAATAGCAATTCTTTCCGATTTGCTTCTGAATTGTATAATTGCTTCTTTGAGATGCTTTTTAACGATCAAACCTACACCGTGTAGCCCCTTTGTTTCTCCTTTGTAGTAGAACAGGTAATATTCATGTTCTCTCACTTCTTCTCCTAGTCGTCGTACTTCGCTCAGACCTATAACATCCCAGTTTATTCCTTGTATTTATATTCGAGTTCTACTAGTCTATCATCTGTTCTGAGTGTCCTTGTATTTAGGGTTGCTATGAATAGTTTATTTTTATCTTTTCTTATTGTTGGGTTTAGTAAAAGTTTAGGTTTTAATGTTTTTCCTGTTTGTTGCTTATTTTCTAGAGTGTGGTGGTCTAACGTCCCGAGGTGACCAGCCTGATTGGGACTTTTCCTTGTTGTTGTGTTGTTTTCTGTTTGTAAATTTTTGGTTTTCCGTTCGGTGCTGGTGTTACTTAATTGCTAGTTCGCGCTGCTGGTTCCGCTGAAGGAGAATGATCTCGCTTTGTCGAAATAGTTGACTCTGCTCATTTTAGTCTTGTTGGTGTTTTTTGTTTTCTCGTCGTTTGATGCAATTGGTGACCCTGTTGGCGACCGCTTCCTTTTTTCTTTTTTTTATTTTACAATTAGTCGATCGTAAATAATATATCCCTCGTTGCCCTTGTCTAGTTCTTCTTTTAGTTGAGTTTTTTATTCTTTCCTCTTTAGAAGTACTTCTTTAGGATAATCCTCGTAGATGTTTTTTTTTAGAAGTTCCATTTTTCGCCAGTACAAGGTGAGCGTCATGCATATGGGCCGGGTTTTACCATCAGTTTTCTTTCCGATTCTTTGAATGTTACTTATCTCCCATTTGTATACAAATATAGCGACGAGTAAATTCAGTCATTTAATTTTCAAAAAATCCCAATAAATCTACAAAGCTACTTTACGTTGCAAAACTTGTACTGTTATTGTTGATATTAGTTTGTCTTTATAAATCTACCCTCAACTAAACAATATCTTACATTTCGCATACGACAGAACTTATGTAGTGTCCTACGTATAATTTATCACTGTTATTGCGCCACAACTGGCCTTTATATTTAACAAATGTATTGATGAGGGAGTGTTTCCAGATCTAATGAAATGTGCTAAAGTTATCCCTCTCTTTAAGGCTGGTGACAAATCAGATCCCAGCAATTTTAGGCCTATATCTGTATTACCAGCGCTAAGTAAAGTATTTGAGAAAATAATTTATAACCAATCACTAGCACACTTTTCTATAAATAAGCTATTTCATTTAAAACAGTTTGGTTTCACTAGAGGCAAAAGTACTACTGATGCTGGAACTGCACTTCTCAAACACATCTTTGATATATGGGAGAGTAAGCACGATGCTATTGGCATTTTTTGCGACTTATCAAAGGCTTTTGACTGCTTTAGCCATGAAACATTGTTAAATAAAATAAAGCATTATGGTGTATCAAATATTTCACTAAGTCTGATACAGTCTTATCTTTCTGCTAGGATTCAGAAAGTAGTTATAAATGAAGCTGAGTCTACAGGAGCACCCATTTCTATGGGCGTGCCCCAGGGTTCAATATTGGGTCCATTGCTTTTCCTTATTTATATCAATGACCTTCCTCACTTTACAAGAGATTTGTGTGAGACAGTACTATTTGCTGATGACACCTCTTTATTGTTTAAAGCTAGAAATTTAATTTCTAGTTTAGAGAATCCCTTAGAGAAAAATTTAAAGAAATTAATATTTTAACACTGGCGTCGCAATACATTTATGAAAATTTAATATATGTAAGAAAAAATTATGATGAATTTGCAAAAAAAAGTCAAACCCATAACTTTAACACGAGATTTAAGAACAAGCTTGCCGTTCCATGTTTCAGACTCCAAAAATCAAGAGGTTCATTTCTGGGTTGTAGTATTGCATTGTTTAATAAAGTTCCCCAAGATCTGATAGAGCTTCCACTGACTAAATTTAAATCTCAGATCAAAAATACTCTTATGAATAAGGGCTATTATAAAGTTGATGATTATCTAAATGATCGTAATGCATGGACATAGTGTTTCTTATAATTTGATATTAAATGGGTATTACTCATTTTTCATAACAGTAATATTGTACCTATCTAATGCCGCTTCCTATATACTACTTAAAATGTCAACTATAAAATTAATTGTAACTACATATTTATATTCTAGATGATGTAATGGAAAGTGACTTCAGACGTATTTCTGAAGTAATTTTTCAACTTGACGACACTGTATGTAACAATACAGGGAGAAAAAAACAGCCCTTGCTGAGTTTCTTGCCGGTTCTTCTCAGTACAAGGTCTCCCGCCGTAGTTTTGCGAACCGATGGCGTAGCTTCTTGACCTTCACAAGTGCTTGTAACAGCCTAGACTGAATAAATGACATCTCATTTCTTTTCATAATAAGTAATAACTTGTGAAATAATATTTTTTTAGGTATCTGCTACAAAACAGTTTTTTATTGAACGTGCACCAATGGTACTATGTATAGCCTTGAAAAGGTTTTCCTTGACTGGAGGTAAACTCTCGAAGCATGTCCAATTTCGGAAAAAGATTACACTTCAAAAATATATATATAACAAGAATAATAGTCAGCAGTTGGTGAGTTGCTCTATAAAGTTGCATGGTATTTTAAAATACATATTTGTTTTTTTTTGTGATGTGTATAATGACCTTGCGATTTCACTTTCAGTCATACAAACTTGTGAGCTTAGTAACTCATCTTGGACCTTCACAAAATTGTGGTCACTACACTGCCATTGGACAAGCTCCTAATAGCAACTATTATCAGTTTGATGACAGTTGCGTGCGTCCTTTGCCTTTATCGGCGGTATTGGGCACTAATGCATACATAATGTTCTTTGAAAAAGATAACAGTATGGAGGACTCATCTGTCCCTACTGCTTCTACTTCCAGTGCAGTCTATGGACCGCAATTACCAGACAGTATTGGTAGAGACAAAAGTCCATTAAAGTTAACTTTCTATAGAAATGATGAAAAGAAGCCTATAATCCTCAACAGCACTTCAACAGAAGTGAACAAGTCTGAAAACAAACCGATCATTTTGAACAGCACACTGTGCAAATCATCAGATTCTAATAGTACAAACACTGAACCGTGGGTGGTCAAACAGAATGGTGAAGTGGAAAAAGTGGTACAGGCACCGAAGATGTCAAACGGCGTGGATAGATCCAATTTCAAATTGGACGAAGATAAGAAGATCACTTTTATAATAAAGAGACAGATCAGCGAGGATAGTCACACGAAGACGAAGCTCGCGAGGGTCGAATCGGAGTTGAGGCCGAATACGGTGCAGAAAACAATCGTCGCTTCTAGTAAACTAGTAAGGCCGCCGAAGTCACCTCTGGAGAAGTTGGAGGAGCAAATGAACAAGAGCGGCGACGCGGGTGGTTCGTCGCAAAGGTTGGTTTCGAACGGGTGCTCGGGGTCTCGGCTGGTGCCGTACGACTCGGAGTCGAGCGGAGACGAGCGAGACAGAGAGAGGCTGCAGCCCGCGCGCCGTCCCGCTTCAGCGCAGGGGCCGGTCCTCACCACCAAGGGCATGCACCACGCCTGGACTGTCTCCAACGAGAACAGCGCACCCCTCCTCAGCCCCAGTTTAAACGGTGTCACCAATAAAAAGTGAGTAGCTTTCCCTACTACTGAATATTGGTATAAGTCACTGACAATTAGATGCATATTTTAATTTGTGGTTAACAGAATTGATATTAATAAATAAAGTTAATTTATTACAATGCTTATGAGGGGTGCAATATGACGCTGGTTTTCGTGTAGTATAAAATAGGGTGACACAAAAACAAACAAGTTTAAGAGCTGAGTGTATCATGTCTGCTGTCTCTGTACAATGTAACTTTCTTATCGGAGACCAATTAAATAGCGCTGACGAGCTGAGCACCCGTTTCTTTTTTGCATTATTACCGCATTATACTTAGGAAAAATACAGTTTTTTTCCTCTTATAATTCATTTCATTGGCATGAATTTCAACAGAGTGAAGGAGAAAGAGGAACGGGGAGAAAACGAGCAGAGCCCTAATACCAGCGTTAGCAGCATGTCTCCACTGAGCGAACACAGTGAAGGGACGCGAGCGCCCGCCATGTTACCGGGACCGGCGTCCAGGCATCTGCTGTCCCTTTCGCACCGCGGCTACGGTGCGCCCGTGTCCTCGTGGAACGGGAGCCACAGCGTGCTCTCGCGCCAGGTACCGTGCCGTCCCTCTCGCACCGCGCCCGCAGCACATCTGCCGTCCCTCGTACCGCGGCTACGGTGCGCCCGTGTCCTCGTGGAACGGGAGCCACAGCGTGCTCTCGCGCCAGGTACCGTGCCGTCCCTCTCGCACCGCGCCCGCAGCACATCTGCCGTCCCTCGTACCGCGGCTACGGTGCGCCCGTGTCCTCGTGGAACGGAAGCCACAGCGTGCTCTCGCGCCAGGTACCGTGCCGTCCTTCTCGCACCGCGCCCGCAGCACGTCTGCCGTCCCTCGTACCGCGGCTACGGTGCGCCCGTGTCCTCGTGGAACGGGAGCCACAGCGTGCTCTCGCGCCAGGTACCATGCCGTCCCTCTCGCACCGCGCCCGCAGCACATCTGCCGTCCCTCGTACCGCGGCTACGGTGCGCCCGTGTCCTCGTGGAACGGGAGCCACAGCGTGCTCTCGCGCCAGGTACCGTGCCGTCCCTCTCGCACCGCGCCCGCAGCACATCTGCCGTCCCTCGTACCGCGGCTACGGTGCGCCCGTGTCCTCGTGGAACGGGAGCCACAGCGTGCTTTCACGCCAGGTACCGTGCCGTCCCTCTTGCACCGCGCCAGCAGCACAGCTCCCGTCCCTCGTACCGCGGCTACGGTGCGCCCGTGTCCTCGTGGAACGGGAGCCACAGCGTGCTCTCGCGCCAGGTACCGTGCTGTCCCTCTCGCACCGCGCCCGCAGCACATCTGCCGTCCCTCGTACCGCGGCTACGGTGCGCCCGTGTCCTCGTGGAACGGGAGCCACAGCGTGCTCTCGCGCCAGGTACCGTGCCATACTTCTCCCACTGCGCCCGCAGGCCTATCTGCTGTCCCTTTTTAACTTCTTCTTCGTCTCGCGCGTCGCCGGCGCCGAAGGCGCCGCGGCGTGCGGGGAGACTGATCTGGGCCGGTTGGCCCACTGCAGTGGTGTCCAGTTCGCGCCTCGTCTTCAGGACGAGGTGGTCCTTGGGGTCCTCTTCTTCCACTCTTCACCATCGCCGCGCGGTCGAGCCCACCGGGTGAGATCCTTTAGGGAGGCCCAGTGAGCGACCAGCAGGCAGGCGATGGGCTTGGGTGGGTGAAGTAGTGCTATTCGTCGGGTTTTATGATATATATACTTAGATAAACAAATACATATATAGTACTTATAAGTTTGGGATGAACCTATGCATATCTCTTTTTTTTTTTTTTTTGTTTGTTTGTTTTTTTGTATATATTTTTTTTTTTTTATTTTTTTTTATTTTTTATATATATGTATTTCTTTTTTTTTTTTTTTTTTTTTTTTTTGATATACGTAGGTTCGGGAGTCTTTGGGATAATGCGGTCATCTGCTTCATGGTGGTTATCTATCCGGGGCTTCAGGCGGTATGAGTTCTCGAGGGAGCGCTCTGTCTCGTCGTCTGCGGCCGCGTTCGTAAGGCGCTGCTATGTGGCTCAGGTGGGCGTAGGCGGAGTGTTCCGCCCTTGTGAACATATTTTTTGCGAGGCGACCTATAAATTCGTCCAATGGTTCAACTTTAAGGTCTCTGTGTATCGTTGCGTTTCTAACGTAACGGGGAGCTTTTATTAATTTGCGTAGTGTCAGGTGCTGCTGTGTACGCATTCTCTTGCGGTTCGTTTCGGCGACCAGTGCGTACCAGGCCGGTGCTGCATAGGTTAGGATAGATCTCACGTAGGTTTTGTAGAGACCTACCCTAATTCGGGGGGGTAGCTTGCTCTCGAACAGTGGTCTGAGTAGAGCTCGGGCTGTCTTCGCCTTATTGATGACTTTATTTACTTGGCTGCGCATCGTGAGTCTTGCGTCAATTGTGATTCCAAGGTAGGTGAACTCGGGCCTCCATGGAATTGGAACGTTATTAATCTTTATCGGGGGCGGCGGGGAGTATTTGGGTCCTACTATCGTGGCCTGGGTTTTGGCTATGTTCATCGCCATTCTCCATTTCGCAAGCCATGGTGTAAGGGCATCCAATGTGGGCTGTAGTTTCTCCGCGGCGTGCTTCGGTCTGTAGGAGGCGGCTAAGTACGCAGTGTCGTCCGCGTACAGGGCAAGTTTAGCTCCGTCTTCCACAGGGATGTCGTTGGTATAGTGCGCGTATAGGGCAGGTGACAAGCAGCTTCCCTGCGGTACCCCTGCTCGTATGGGGCGTGGCTTGGAAAGGTGACCTTCGATGGCCACGCAAAAGCTCCTGTCTTGTAAAAAGGCGGCGATACTTTTGAGAAGGCGGAGGGGGAGTGGGGGGGTTGTTGTCGTTAACAGCTTATGTAGCAGGCCCTCGTGCCACACTCTGTCGAACGCCTTCTCCATATCGAGTAAAACAACGGCGGTGTACTCTCTTTTATTATTATTTACGGCGAGTTCGTGGACTACCCTCGTTAGCTGTAGGGTAGTCGAGTGGCCCGGGCGGAATCCAAATTGCTCGGGTCGTGGCGTGACGGGAGCCACAGCGTGCTCTCGCGCCAGGTACCGTGCCGTCCCTCTCGCACCGCGCCCGCAGCACATCTGCCGTCCCTCGTACCGCGGCTACGGTGCGCCCGTGTCCTCGTGGAACGGGAGCCACAGCGTGCTCTCGCGCCAGGTACCGTGCCGTCCCTCTTGCACCGCGCCAGCAGCACAGCTCCCGTCCCTCGTACCGCGGCTACGGTGCGCCCGTGTCCTCGTGGAACGGGAGCCACAGCGTGCTCTCGCGCCAGGTACCGTGCTGTCCCTCTCGCACCGCGCCCGCAGCACATCTGCCGTCCCTCGTACCGCGGCTACGGTGCGCCCGTGTCCTCGTGGAACGGGAGCCACAGCGTGCTCTCGCGCCAGGTACCGTGCCGTCCCTCTTGCACCGCGCCAGCAGCACAGCTCCCGTCCCTCGTACCGCGGCTACGGTGCGCCCGTGTCCTCGTGGAACGGGAGCCACAGCGTGCTCTCGCGCCAGGTACCGTGCTGTCCCTCTCGCACCGCGCCCGCAGCACATCTGCCGTCCCTCGTACCGCGGCTACGGTGCGCCCGTGTCCTCGTGGAACGGGAGCCACAGCGTGCTCTCGCGCCAGGTACCGTGCCATACTTCTCCCACTGCGCCCGCAGGCCTATCTGCTGTCCCTCTCGCACTGCGGCTGTGTCACGCCGCTGTTGGCAATGAACTATTGCTATGTCCACGGCGTCCATGGTGCAGAGATTGCCGTATTGCGTTTTGATATTACTGATAATTAGAAATATTTCGTTATAAAAAGGGGTAATTTTATTTTTCATTTTACTCCCACTTCTTAAAATAACAGTTTTAAGTTAAATATGTATTTAAGAGCCCTTTTACAAAATTGCGCCGCTCTAGTTTAGGTAAATATGACCGCGAGCATGTCCGAGTCGCACGAGCGAGACATCGACGCGGCGAAGTTCAGTATAGCGCGCTTTACCAAATTGATACTTAGTGCTAAGATGGATCCCTACTGTAGCAACGAACGATTCTAGATAGGAATCCTGAGTGGAGCAAAGGATACAAGGATTAAGTTTTTTTACTATTGTGAGAAAATAAATAATATATTTATAGTACCCATTGGTTGCGTTTTGGGAATGACAATAAAGATTAATTATGATTATTACTAATTATTGTAACTTTATATGTTTGATTTGCATAACTTCTGTTTGTTCAAATTTTTTTATTCACTCAGTAATTAAATGAAAAGTTTGTTCACTGTTATCGCTGAATGAAATCCCTTTTTCGAGTGGCAATTAGAAAAAATATTTTATTTACTTGTATTTTTAGTATTGACTTTTTTAATGATGATTGATGTTTGGTAATAATCAAATATCTCAGTAAAACTGTACTAAGTGTAGTTTTGTCTTTCCTTCGTAGATCATTTAATAAAAAAGTTTTCGCACTCTGTATTTTCAATATATCTGTAAGAGTATTTGATAAAAAAATAAGAAGCATGTTTTTTGTATTCGTGTAATTTCCATTCATTTAAACAAAACCCATCAAAAGCATTTAACTTTCATAGGAACTCATCTCTTACACACCTAACTCATGAAATTTTTGCTGCGAGTTCTCGTATGGTAATTTCAGGATAAATAATATGAAAACGGAGCTGGGAAAGTTCACACCTCCTCCATCACTAGCTGCTGTAAAGCACGTTCAATAAAATCTGCTATTCTCTATACAATTAATTACTCATCAGTGTTATCAAAGATTATCATCACTGATGCTATCATAACCGGAAGCAGTCTGGTAGTATAACGTATCACGTACAATGATTGTCTCTTTTTGAAACTGATGATTGATGTTTTGTTTTTCGTAAATTGCAATGAAGGTTATATTATAATTATCTATAATAATATATTATTCTTTGTGGATTATTACGGTGACAAAGGGCCACAATACATTCAATTTTAATAAAAGTATGACGAGAATAAACAAAATACTTATAATAACAACATCTGAAATTTCCTCGCTCATTGTCAATTCTATAAGTTCTTATTTCAGCTGAGGTGATATGGATATGTTGACATTTGACGATCCAACACCCAGTCTGTTGTTTCCAAGTGCAAAATGTCCTGGTATCATTACACGTCCTCCATCAACCATATACTCCTCCTGAAAACAGATTATCTAATTGACTTCAATACTCCTTTTATCGACTATCTACGCATATAAACAGATATAGGCAATTCTGGAAATACATTTCCAATCCAGACACAGATATGGTACGTAAATCAGCAAGTTACTCTCAATTGAACTTATGGAGCAAAGAAGTCTAAATATAAACTATTAAAAATAAACTTTTTTGCTCTAGAAATGCATCCTATTAGTTTAAGTTTAAAACAAAAAACCAAACTGCTAACATTGTAAACCATGTACCTAGTGTAGCAGTGAGATACCTATTAAGTCAGTATAAAACAAATAAATTGACGCTTCCCTTTGTTCATCGGATTCGATTTCCAATCCAACAGCATTTTTTTCCTATATAATTAAATTTATTATTATAATTTCAATTTCTCTTTTCATTGTCTACTTCCAATAACAACATGAAAAACTTACAGTTTCCGTTGCAATCGAATCCATTGAACTTATGGTCGGTATAGTTTCAATATTTTCTGGGTTGCCATTAAAATTTTGTTTCCATCTAAAATACCCATTAAGTCAGTAAGTTAAAGTCGTTGGCCATTAGAGTACAGTACCTTGACTGATTACAATTTTATACCAATGATACTTGAAAAATTCGGACATCTCACAACATTCGGACAATCACCATTTTTATACAATTAAAACACCCATTGAAACCACAAAAATAAAAAACGAAATGTTATAAGCATATTCACCTTGCTTCACAAGCTTTCTTTATGGCTGCATCATTCTTTCGTTTTTTTTGACACAATGGTAAGCAGGAATTTTACGCCCCATTGTAAATACTTATAACAAAAATATTAGTTGAAGCAACGATAATTAATAACTAGGTAGGTACTTATAATAATAAAATTGAATATGGTTGTGGAAACTTACATACAGTCAACGATTAAACTTTTGCGGTCGTAGTATATCCAGCCAGTTTTACGATGAATGCACTCGTAGCATCGCTCGGAACGCGTGCGGTACAAAGCGACACGGGTCCGACCTCCAAAGGCGCTGGCGCCGTACTGAACGGCGTCTTGATTTGCACTACTATATATTGCATTTTACGGGTGATGTTCAGAGTCTTATAAAATAATAATTAATGAAATTATTATAAAATTATATACATATTTCAGTAGTTCAATGATTGTAGATTAGTTTTATGACAGTTTTTGATAGTAATTCTATTTAATTCAATATCAAAATACGAGGTAAACCTGCGTTATTTTTTGGGGAAACTCACGGAGGTTAGATGTTTTTTTAATAATTAATGAGATGGAAAATCAAGATTCTAATACATTATGTTGCAACAAAAACATATTTCTGGTGTCGTAGTAATTAATTTGATCTAATTTTTTGAACATTATTGTGAGATTAAGGCGTTTTCAGTTGTGCATATTATCGTTTTTTCCGTAAACTAGCTGCGGTAGAACGATCAGTACAAAAAAATGGAAATAGTATTTGAAAATATTCTACATTAATTTTCAATAGGAAGAATAAATCTACTGTTTACTTCTATTGGAAGTAGTCAAAATCTCTTCTAAGGGGGCAAACGAGGCGCTCAAAAATTGCGATTTATTGCAAAAAATGTGAAAGGGCTATTAAAGGTTTTAAGTATATAAAATGAAATTGTCAACATCCTACACTTTCTATTGAATGGGTACCATTAATGCCAATTTTCCTGCCTTTTTTTGGAGGACCTCGATCGCACAGGTGGATATGCGATCGTGAAAGTTAAGCAATTTTCGCTATGGTCGGTCATTGGATGAGTGACCAAGAACTTGTTGTCTCGAGCTCCTCCGTGCCTTGGAAAGCACGTTAAGCCATTGGTCCTAGCTGCATCTGCAGTCGTTAGCACCTACCAATCCGCACTCGGCCCGCGTGGTGGGTCACGGCCCAGTCTCCCTATTCCATCGATAGAGAAGGCCTGTCCCGCAGCAATGGGGACATTAAAAGGCTGGTAATGATGATGATGATACTTTTTTGTGTTATACTGGGTATGATAAAGATATCTCAACTATCTTTTATTGACAGGTGTTTGAAGAAAAGCGCGAAGAACGAAAGCGCGCAATGGAAGCAGTCGACGACATGGACCGCGGTCGCAATAAGAAAGTGAAAAAGTTCCACCACTACAATCGTTTCAACAACAACAGGAATGGATATAATCCTTTCCAGGTACTGTTTTAACCGTTTTTATTTCCTAAAATAACTCACTTAAAAATGTATACATTTGGTATACTATATTCTGTGTTCAATTGAAATTTTTCAAAGCTAACACAAATATCCTAATGTCACCTAGGTTTTACAACGAATTACATTTTAATTTTCAACAGAAGTATTGTTATAATGGAACAATACCGAAAAATTGACTATATAATTATCGGAACTCTTGTTTGTGAAAATGTGGGTTATTCCACTAACTCCAAAACAGTTTTAAGAGGTAAATAATTTTATGTGCAAATAAATTTTAGGAATCGTTTTGGAGTTAAATCTGGAAACAATATATAAGGAAAGTTTTGAAAACATAGCTTTGGAGTCAAGAGCAATAACCCGAAATTTTATGATATCCCAACATTTTCAATATGACCCTTTTATTTATTTATTTTATTTATTTTGTACACACACAACAAAATATTTGAAACAAGAGATATGTACAAGGGCACTGCTTATTTCATATTGAAATTTCTTGCAGCAGGCCCGCGAAAGGAAAGAACATAGAAAAAGGCGGCCAGTGTGTACTCCTGAATAGATATAACATAATACATTTTTTTTAAATAATAATTTGCAATACGTACATAAACATACAATACATATTATATATTTATTATTTATTTTTACCTTTATTTATTATGTCTTCACTCATGTTGTCATCACTCCTTAAATAAAACTAATTTTTAACGGGTTTAAAATGGATTTTTTTTCACAGAATTCACTTCCAGTCCGCGTAGCATTATATCACGTTTTTTAACGCGTCTTAACTGTCAAACTCAATAGTAATTTGACAATGATAAAAAACACGTTTTATATCACATATCGCGGTACTCATGCTAGAGGGGCAGAAATGTGAAACGTCGAGTTATGTAAAAAAGTATTTAACGCATTTGAACGTTAAAAAAGTAGTTTTATTTAATGATTACTCTCTGTTACTCCATTGCAGGAGAAACAGAACAAGCCTCACTGGGGAGGCAACTTTAAGTACCGCGGCGATCGACGGCCGCCGCACCACTTCAACAAACATCACAACAATAAGTACAATAAGAGATTTAACAGGTGAGAATTTAGAATATACATGACTATCGGCCGCCCGCGACTTCGTACGCGTGGAGGTAGTTAGAAATAAAGGTTCACTGCTCGTTCCCCGTAGGTGATAGCGTGATAATATTCGTGCCAAATTTGAAGTAAATCCATGCAGTACTTTTTGAGTTTATCCCAGACATTAATACAGACAAACAGACAAAAATTCTAAAAAATAAATTTTTGGCTTTGGTATCGATTGTAGACACCCCAAGTATTCTTTTTAAAAAAATATTCAATGTACAGTTTTGACTTTCCTACCATTTTATTTTATGTATAGGTTTGACTATTAACGATCCTGGACTGAAGGACGACTCCGGCCATCCAATAATAATAATTACCGAAACTTACCGCAATTGATTTCGACAACAAGTGTCTCTAGCAACGATATTAAATACCCTAGATACACCACATGCGCTCAAAATGTGTCCCAATCAGGAAGTGCTTGAACACCACTCAAGCACTTCTTGGTTCACAGTCGCAGACTGTTAAAAAGTCAAAATGGCGCAACGCTCCTTGAAAAAATGCGAAAACAATGCTGTTAGTACACCAAGTGTCCTTTTTTCGACAGGTATCTAATCAATGTTTGTTAATTTAACGCATTTGAAGCAAATTTTATTCTAATACTTACGATAAACTAATTGAATAGAAAATATTTGTGATATTTAAATGCATGGTCGGTTATACAGGTGTTAGAAAAAATACAAATAAAGCTTGAAGGGCGTCGAAGTACATCATATAAGGAGTCTTTTCTAATTTTCTTAAAATATTTGCATGAAGTTTTAACTTCTTATAAAAACAGTTATTTTTAATGATTTATAAAAATGTCGATCATTTTAATACACGTCACTAGTTCGAGGATCATTAAAAATAACTGTTTTTTATAAAAAGTTAAAACTATATGAATATATTTTAAGAAAATTAGAGAAGACTCCTTATATGATGTACTTCAACACCCTTCTAGTTTTTTTGTATTTTTGTAACAACCTGTATAGCAGTCTCTTTCCTCGCGCGCCGTGCCAGCTATATTGCTAACAGCGCATTCATAATTGCGCTTAGAGTCAAAGAAATTAGGTTAATATTCTTCCGCATATAGCAATAAGTCATAACATTTTACTCGGACTGTCACAATTCTTTGACGCATGAGTTTTAATTAAGACCTTATACAGTATGCATTAAAGGTGACTTTCAATGTTTAAATAATTCCTTATATTGTTTTTGACGAAAGATGTTTTACGCAATCGGAACTCCGTGGATCGTCCAATGTACCTTTTGGACAGGTTTCGGCCACGATTTTGTTCTTGTTGTTTTATCTAGGGTTCTACGGTATTTAATATCGTTCGTCTCTAGGCGCAGATAAATTCGGCTTAAAAATTAAGTGACAATGCTTGTAAGGGCGCTTGTTAACAAGACAAATTCTACCTCTTCTTTTTTTTCGTAATTTTTCCGATATTTCAATCTAAATCTTTTAATAGCTCATTCAAATAGGTCTGGCCGTTCTTGAGTTATAAGTGGTGTACCTTATACGATTATACGATATATACACAACTATATTTTATTATTATTTTATTGAAATAGAAGTTTTGATGGCAGAAGCAAAATTCGTCATCAAAATGCTGGTTCGAGTCCAGCCTGTTGAACAGACTCTTTCTAGTGACAATATTATTTTAATTTGTATGTGATCCTTATAATTTTGGTTTTCAAACTGTTTCTATTTTATTTTATAAGTGAATTAGAGGCCGCTGACTTCGTCCTCGTCAACTTTGATTTTTTGAGAATCCCACAGGAACCTATCATTTTTCTGGGATAAAAAGTATCCTCACTCAATTCAGGTCATAATATATGCGTACCGAATTTCATCCAAATCTGTTCAGTAGCTATATGTGGTTGAGTGTCAAATATAGAAACTAACTTTTATCATATTAGTAGGATGTACGTTATTCTCAGTGGAAACTGTAGAAATAATTATGTTTTGTTTTACAATGTTGTTGTGCACACAAACAAGTTATGTTGTGAACGTTTAATTTCAGATACAACAATGGGCATCATTATCCGAGACACCATTGACCCCAGCCACTGAGTGTCCTAATTGTGGTGTACATAGATAAAGTTGGACTTCATGAGTTTAGTTAATCTATAAATAGCCTTGCACGGTCAAGTCTTCATTATAGCGAGATTCCTTAAAATACATTTTTTTCTGCTGCTCGCTAACCGATTACAAGACTAGCAGTTGCCGAATGTGGTGATGGAAATAGTGAAATATATACTGCCAGTTCAGCCTTTGTAGTGCATAACCCATAAAAATTACGTGTACTAATATTATAAGCAAAGATTCGGTGTATTTTGTAAAGATCCTTTAGTTCATACGTCGCTGTACCCTAGCTGTTAACGGGATATTTTAACACGATAATTAATTATCATGTGTATATTATAACGTCAATAGCTAATGATGCTTATATGGATTGGTCAAGATACTGTTGCATTTGGTTAACTCAAGTTTTATTTATTGATAAGGTTTATATGACTGCAGATTTTGTGTCAGGTACACTACATGCCGATAGGACGGAATGGTCACGAAACGATATAGGCAATAATATAATATAAGCGGGAATATTAATCCTAGCATTTGTATGACTATATCGGATAACTGTTTACGATGATTATTTAGAAAAGGTAGAACCGACTCTTAATGTCTTTACTTATGCAAATGTTATTTGTTTTTTTATTGATTTCCTAATTTAAACATATTTTGTTACCTCGTGTTTATCCATAATTACGTTTGATTATTAGATTCCCGACATATTTATATCTTACTACGCGGTAGTGTAATAAATATGTGCTACTACTATAAGATACGTATTTAATTATAGTTCATTATTACATAATTATCTTGAAGGTGGACGAATGAACGGTAATCTGTGGTTGTATGTGATACATTTTGTTGCAGACTGTTATACTAATTTATCCAATAAGTTTATAGAGACACTTGTAATTTCTTACCAGTCTTAAAAGATGTATTATGAACTAGGTGTCTGGAATTTTCTAGTCTCCGTTCTAGGGTGGTATAATGACTCCAGACGCATATTTACTAGCGCAGGTAACAGTGATAAATTAGGGCTCCAAATGTGTTATCAAATTATTACAATAACTTTCCTGACTTAAAAAGTTGAAAGTTTATCAGAGCCTACATAGGCCAACATTTAGCTGGATAGGTGTAAATCAAGTTCCCCATGTAATAAATATTTTTATTGTGGAATAGATTGAAATGGTTATGTTTATTGACATTTTAAATAATTAACTTTTATCCGACTGCCGTAAGAAAATTGTAGCAGCCCTTATTTATACATTGTCGTCCTGTTTTCGTTGCATGTCAGAATATTATAAGGACTTTGTCATTTTGATTTAAACAAGCAATACTATTAATTTTCCGCTATTATTAGATTTCTAATGTACGATGCGAGACATACTCACAGTATGGATTGCTTATTTCATATCCAGTTTGGTATTAGAGTGATAATTTTGACACTTGTAGTAGTGAACTTGCAGGCAAACATTATAAAATCCGATATAACTCGTGTTTTAAAGAAGGAAATCGAAAATGCCGACGCAAGACATTCTGTCTCACTCACGATGTGCGAGAGGGACAGAATGTCCCGCGTTGGCATTTTCGATTTCTTTGTTTATATAACTTATAGTAGAGATAGGTTACTAACATCAACATAGTATCATACTGATCGACTGATCGTATAAAGAAAACCTAAAAATGACGGCTGGATTTAAATCACATAATCGTGTTTACGACCATGCGTGCCAAAAGTATCACTCCTAACTAATAGTTGTAGCAAAACCTAAGGATTCATTAGTCAAATATTTCATGTAAAATATATTTGTTTTACATTATTATTCTTTAGATCTTACTTTAAATCTGACCTAAACCTGATTAATTTTGTTTTTATTAAGCAATTCGTAAAGTAGCATTTGAGAAACAATATATTTTTAAGTTCTTTTTTTTACTGTAACATAATAACATGGTGTAAGACTTAGATTATTTCAATTAAGTTCTTCAGGTTTTAACTTATAGTTTTTACTGTTCCAATTTATTTGACGACATCGGAACTGTGTTTGCCTTCGCAATATTTTCATAAAATTCAGATCATATTGTGTGACTGATGATTTTATTCATGTGGTGTCAATGAAATATTTTTTTTATATGACTTAAGACTAAAGTAAAATATCTAAGGGATATGATAAAAATGTAAAAGAATTCTAATTATATGCCTCTTATTTTCATTTGTCATGGGTATGTGTGTATGTGAATAATGTACATGAATTAGGCGCTATTCCGAACAAAATTAATAAAACATGTGTAAACTTTCAAGCATAGTTATTACAAAAAAATATCTTTTTTTTAATAAAATAGTCTATTTGCCGTTGTTAAATTATGTGCCAGCAATACCAACATTTAGAACTTGGAAATTGTCAATAGTGTTAAAAGTACCTATATACAGCGAAATAGTTACTATAGTGACTAATTTCAACTTTGATTAGATATATAATCGAATTGAACTTCGTCAAAGCAAAGTGTAAAATATTAAGTTAAGAAGTGGATAAACATTTTTTTGTAATTTCCACCGACACTAAAGTAAAGGAGAAGATGAAAGAATTAAAATTAGTTTTATTTTGGCATACTTAGTTTTAGACATCTGCTTGTCTGTACCATTTATCGTCAAATGAATAAACTGTAGCGAGTTTTTAAGTTTTGCGAGAAATGCATGAACTCTGAAGTAATGCTTAGTACTTTGGCGTTTATGTTTGTTTGGGACAGTTTAGTGGTTGCCTGTAATTTCCTCTGCGTTTCCAAGACAATATTTTCAACCTGTTATTTCGCCGAAGTCCTATAAATAAAGTAGCTCATATCATGTCCCTCCAAAATTTTATATTCATAGAAGTAGTATATAGTCAAAGTTTATTAAAATCGGTTAGTATATTGTTACGTGTCGGGGTGGGGTTCGAAATTATATGCCAGTTCACGCTTGACAGTTCTTTATTCACCACACAGTTCACACAATTAACACACAATGTTAATTACAAAACATCCACTAAAAACTGTATTTCACTATACAAGTCTCTAAACAATCGCACTTGAACACTTTTATTGCACTTTGATCGCCTTTGGATTCGCTCCGAAATCTCTGTTGAAACTCGCCTGTCTTTGCGCGGCGCCAATCGCGCTTATTAGTATAAGAGCTGGCAACGTTTTCGAGAATGAATTTTAGGTCGGCTAATTTTTGTATAATTCCCATTCTTATTGACAGTAGGTTGGGATGTCGTACGTCTGGCACCTGGAAGCGGTTGCGTTCAGTTGTGCGCATCCCACCTGTACAGGTAAAAATTGTACATTTTGAAATCATTTTAAGACATTTTTTTTTTTTATAAATTTCATGTCTCGTTAGCAATATAAAACCTTAATTGCCAGACACTTTTGTCGTTGCTAACATTGCCCCAGACACAATTTCAATAATTAAAAAATAATTATTTTTAAACAATTTTAGTATGTCTGTAATTTTGATATAATTCACCATAAAAGAAATATGATAAAAATTTACCAGACAGAAATTCTGTTGCTTAATGAGAATTTAAATCAATTTAAGTTTCGGGGAGAATAGGTGAGTTAGAAGAGTGCGGAAACTAATTCGTCGGTTGTGTGAAAGAGATAGCTGCGACAGAGAGCGGTAGAGGGAGAGAAGTATAGCCACAGCTGCTATTTTCAACATGGCGTCGCCTACACGTGTGTAAACGCTTGTATTTTGTTGTCTCGTGTTTTTAATAGAAAAAAAATCGTCATGGCTAACGAAAAAGAAAATGTGTTTTTAATACAGTTGCTCAAAAAGTGGCGTATTGCAGGGACGTGTAGCGTTTGGGATCTGGGCTATTTCACACTCGTGCTTTTTTTTTGCCTTTCCCGAACTCGTGCGTTTTCTTTCCCGACTGTCAAAATTATTTCTATTAAAAAAAACAACCATGAAGTTTTAACTAAAAAAAATCATAGAAGTTCTTGCGATTCATGCAAATAGGTTTATTTGTTTTTAAAAAGAAGCAGAATTAATTAATTGATTGAATGAGTTAGGTAAGGTTTCAGTTCATTTCATATCATTAAATTTCAATTTCATTTCTTATAATAAAAAATACTAAGTACTAAAGACTTGGCTGTATGGGCAGTTCCCTTTGCCTACCAAAATGGGTGAAAAAAAACTGCTTACATTCTACGGTTGGCGCCATTTTCCGAAATTTTCTTTGCGTGTTTAGTTGTTTTTTTACACAAAATGAGTAATTTCGACCTAAATTTTTTTGAATTAACTCCACCGGAACTCAGTATAATTGCACAAAATACTTCGGAGAACATTTTACCGGAAAAGTCGAAAATTCGCTACATATCTACATACGATGAATTTATTGCGTGGAAAGAAGAGAAAAAAGCAAATAGTTTTTCAGAAAATGTTATGTTGGCATACTTTTCCGAACTCTCAGCAAAATTAAAACCTTCTACGTTATGGTCAAGGTTTTCGATGATAAAAAGTATGCTGAAAATAAGGAACAACGTGGATATAAGTCAATATCCAAAATTAAATTCTTTCTTAAAACGACAATCAGACGGGTTTACCAGTAAAAAGTCGAAAATATTAACATCGAATGACGTGGAAAGGTTTTTGAAAGAAGCTCCCGATGATTGTTATTTAGCCACAAAGGTAATTTATTAATAAGTATACATATCTACATTTTTCTTTAGTGTTCAGGTTACAAAATCGCAAAATACAGTCAATACATTATGTACGGGACGCCGGGCTGTCGCAGTAGCGGACAGTTACCGACTCGTACTGAGGGGGTGGAGGAAGTTACACGCAGGAGTCTTGACTGTAGTGGACTGTAGTTTCGGCGAATAAAACCCCTGGTGTTCGGTATTGAAGAAATCGGTGGGCGCTGATAATGGATGGCCGGTGAGAGGAGGCTTCAGGTCCAGAGTGAACCGCTTGGTTGTTTCTTCCTGTTCCTTAGGGTAGGAGCGCCTGTCGCTGAA